GGGACTATGCAATTTAGGAAAGATTGTGGTGGAGGTGGAAGAAGGGATTAGGATATTAATTCCTGTTTTTAAATTGTGTCCTTGGGCTGAATCCGTTTATGCCTCAAGTTTGTTCCGATGCTTTGGTGGTAATTTATTTTGACAAAATGTTTTTCTATTTTTAACATTATAAAATTCTCCAAAAATTAGTTGGTTGTAATTTAATAATAATAGATTTTATATTTCACTATTTTTCTGAATGCTTTTGTACTCCTATTCAAAGAAATCTGTGAATCATTTTCAGGAAATCAACAAATTACACATTTTTTTTTACAATCCCTAACAGCAATGTTTGTCGACAAATTGTTACAATTGTTGCATTAATGCTAATTTTTTCTATTTCCTTTTAACCTTTTATAACATATTTTGAATTTTTTTTAAAAAAAGGTTCTTTTAAGTACTAACTATATATTAATATTTAATTTCACTGTTTTGTTGATCAATATATGATATTTGATTCAAAATTTGAATTGTATACTTATCACAATATCAAAAGTTTGTAAATGTTGCTTGCTTTCCAGAGATGATATTTCCAAAACTATTCCTCCTTTTACCATAAAAAGCTGATAAAGACTTAGGAATGTATAGGAAACATATTAAATGATAAAATATTTTTAAAACANGTTTGGCTTACTTTTGAAAGAGTTATCGCTATTTTTGTGATTTTTCCTTAATTTATGATAACCAGTGTATATATTATTTTATTCATATGTGTTTAGTACGAAGAAGGAAAACAAAACTTAATGTTTTAGTTCTGCACTGTTCAAGACTCTAGCTGTTAAAACAAAAGCAATTAACTATACTAAACTAGAAAACTATGTGTTTAGATTGGAATTCTTTAAATATTTTAATTTCAAATAAGAAAAAAAAGTATAAAATTTAAAGAATTTTATCTTTTTTTTTAATAGAGTATACAACAAAAAATTAGACAATTTTACATTTGTTGCATTTATTTTTGTATATTGAATCTCGTAAAATAATAATGCTAATTCAAAAAAACTTTATTTAAAAATTTGACTTGAGATATTAATTTAAAGAAAATATGATCAATGAATTTTATAAAAAGTACTGCTAAAATAAAATATACTATACATCATCATCATCATATTTGGCTAGACAGCCCAGGGTGGGCCAGTGCCTTCCTTTGAATTCGAATCCACTTCTCTCTACTTTTGACACTTGTTCGCCAGTTTTTCTCCTTTAGAGTAAGGAAATCAGTCTCAACTAAATCTAGCCATCTCAGCCTGGGTCTACCTCTTTTCCTGTTCGTTAGGGGTTTGTGTAATAGGATTTTCTTTAAATTTGAGTCATCATTCCTTCTGAAAATGTGAGCTGCCCAGTTCATTCGATTTATTTTAATGAATTTCACAATATCTGGCTCTCTGTAGATTTTATACAGTTCAGTATTATATCGTCTTCTCCAGGAATTATTTATTTTTATCCCACCAAGGATGGCCCTCAAAACTTTTCTCTCAAAAATGGCAATTTTATTTTCACCAGCTTGAGTTAGGTTCCAGGTCTCAGAGCCATAGGTAAGTATTGGCCTAATTAATGTTTTATAGAGTAAAAGTTTTGTATTTTTTGATAAAAGAGAGGATTTGAAAAAACGTTTTAAACCATAAAAAGCTTTATTTGAACAAATTAGACGACTCCGAATCTCATTGTCTATGTTATTGTCGGCAGTAACTATTGAACCAAGGTAAGTAAAATTCTGAACAGTCTGAAACCTGTGGGAACCAATCTCCAGATAGGATTCACTAGAATTTAATTTAGCAAGTACAGGCATGTATTTGGTCTTATCGGTATTGATGATTAGTCCCATATCCCTAGCAGCAAGCTCCAAAGAAAGGAAAGCTTCTTTTAATGCAGGAACAGTTCGTGCAATGATGTCTAAATCATCCGCATACGCCAATATTTGAATAGATTTTGAAAATATGTTGCCTCTGATATTGATTTCAGCATCTCTTATAACTTTTTCTAGAGCAACATTAAAAAGAAGACAGGATAAGGAGTCTCCCTGTCTGACTCCATTGTTTACTTTAATTTCTTCAGATAAAGATCCCAAAAGTTTGACTCTGCATACGGTGTTTGACATGCTTGCTTCTACAAGTCTAATTATATACTATACAGTACAGCTTTATATTCAAATGTAAATAAGTGTAAAATTCATTAATTTAATTGAATATTTCAGAATGGCTATTTAATAATAAAGAATATATTCTATTCTTAGCGAAACTGCATGGAATATTTTAAAAACGAAGCAAAAGTTTATTTTTAAGAAATCAATCATCAAAAAAAAAAAAAAAAACTTCACACAAAATTCATCGTACACTTTCAAAAAAATATCTGCCTATTAGTAAATATTCAAATTTTTTTAATTAGTAATATTTAGTAGAGTTTCCTTTCACATTTACAATAGCTTTTATAAGTTTGTAAATAAATGTAACTATTTTTTTTCCTGTCGGGTGAAATTCGAACAGAATATTTTTTATTAAATTTTATAGAAACTTTTACAACACTCAATTGTGAATTTATGAATTTTTCCACAATTTTATGATTTTAATCTCTGATATGAAGTCCTTCTTTTAAGCATTTTATCACATGTTGCACAGTACAATAGGAGCATTAAACTAATTTAACAATATTCATTGCTGATTTACCTCGTATAATGACAAATAATCAACCTTCAAATTTGGTCTATTGTTTTGTTATGACCATGAGCCGTTTTTAGATGATAAAAGACAATATTACGGTGAAGCAAAAATTAAAGTATAATTTTGCTATCACAATCTTGATACTAAATTGCAAATAAATATGTAAAAAATTAAATGCAAAATTATTAAAGGAACAAATTAAAACAATAGACGATAATTTTAATTATGAAGTTGGAAAACATTCAAGTGTACGATGACTTTTGTGGGATAAAATTTTTGTTACTATTTGATTATTGATATCTTAAAAATAAACTTTTGCTTTGTTTTTAAAATATTCCATGCAGTTTTGCTAAGATTAGATTATACATCTTTGTGCCTTGTATGCAATACAAAGCGGACTGTAATGGTTTGATTAAACATTTATTAAACAATACTTAATAATATAAATGAACTATATACACGAAGATTATTATGGCTGCTGCAATAGCAGTAAACAATGAAAGGTAACTCATGCGAGAGCTGACAAGTGAACTTCCTTGTTCAAAGTTCTTGAGTAAAAGAATGTTTAATTCTCTGACAGCAATGCAAAAAGTATGTGGGGGTGCGATAAGGGTAAAACGCACCCCCCACACATGATAAGGGTATATTTTTGATATCTAACAATCTTATTATCAAATACTCATATAATTATCAGAAAAGGTAAAAACCAAAGTGTGGAGAGATCTTCAACAGAACACCATTCTAGACTGGCCGCACCGCGAAGCGCTGGCTCAGTTTCGACTATATACCAGACATGACTGCCTAGCCACGCACCTGTTTCGTTTAGGGCTGGCACCCGATTCCTATTGTCCTCTGTGCAAGAGCCAATCTGTTTTGGATGGCGGCCACATCCTGCTCTGCAGGGCCCTCCGTGGGTCGTCGTCTACCGAGCGATATTGGGAAGCAAGAGCGCTCCTGAGGAAATGACTTTTTATTTTCTTGTTTTGTTCCTGTGTTTTTACCTTTTAACATGTCACTTCACCTCTGCCATTTGAAATAAATAAATATTATCAAATACCCATTCTGATATATTTATTTTAATTAATGAATATCTATTTCCCATTTCAAAAAAAGTTATAAGTGGATGAGCACTTTTGGGAGCCACTGTAACTATAAAAATTTATTAATATATAATCACTTGAAACGGTTTTCCTTTTTGCTTAATGAAAATATATTAAACTATACTTATCGAAGGTCTTATTAGTCATTCTGTTTTTGCCATTTGCTAGGTACACTTTGAGAAAAAACTACTTAAAGTAACACATTAAAAAATTTTATTCAATTAAAACAATACATTCTACAAGCTAAACATATTTTCTCCACGTGTCTTAATTTCTTCAAAATTAATTCTGTGCCAAAACATTAAAAAATAAATAAAAAATTGTCAAAATAAATTATTTTTTTCAAGATGATATGTTAAAAAAAAAACATTTTGAATGAAATATTTTATAATAGAGACACTTTTCTTGTACACATCCTACACTTTATAAGAAAAAAGAAACATGGACCTGGAAATTTTAAGATTTTTATCTGGAAAAATCAGGGAAATTTTAAATCTGATTTGAGTGGCCACCCTGTTTTACAAACATCGTGTGCGCATTCTTATTGATATTAAATCATAATTTTTTTTGTGAATAAATAATTGATCAATTTATATTTATTCATAAAATTAGTCAATAGAATATTATGTAAATAAAGATTGATTTCTGGCAATTTTTTAAAACATTACTAAATTGTGTTATTTAAAATATGTCTATTGTAATTATTAAAAATGTGAGTGATTTTGTTTCCACATTATTCGTCCAAAATGAATATTCTGTGTTGAGCAGTATAGACTAAATACCAAATATTTGTATGTTGCATCTCTAATTTAGTAGCAGCAATTGTTGACCAGAATCTTGTATCTATTTAGAATTTAAAAACTTGAAAAGGTTTTTAGTAATTTTTGCAATAACAGGACCCTATTTGCACAAATTCACAAATGTAGGATCCTGGTCGTAAAAATGTGACTTAACGCTTATTTTATATTCACAAATTATGAATAGTTTTTTCACAATTTTACAAAAACAGTATCTTTTCACAAAATGTCTCGACAGACCCCTGCTAACACTTTTTGGCAATTATTAAAAGAAATCTAATACAATTAAAAGTCAAAATTTTTTATTTCTACTACAACTATGTAATGATTTGTTGGAGATTATACTTTTAATGTTGCATTTAATCAAGCATTGAATTGTGCATAATTAGTTCCTCTATTTTTTATTTTAGGATGAACAAGGTTGTAATTCAAATTTAAGAAAAACTGAAAAAATATCTTTAAATAAGTGAGTTTTTTTTTTTTTTTTTTTTTTTTTTTTTTTTTTTTTTTTTTTTTTTTGCTCAAGTAAGCTTTTTTTGTTATATTCATGTTTCAAATTAAATGGCTCAATCAAAGTCATAACAATGCTCTGTTCTGTGTTAGTTCTTTTCTGTTTAGTTTCTATGTGTTTGTTAGAATATAGTTTCTATATTTCTTTTTTTATTTAAATTCTGATCTCTCTCATTTATTTTAGATGTACAGCTTTTCTTTTATCCTTCCCAGAATGCCTTGAAGTTATGAAATTACTAGATACAAGGATTAGTGTTTTTAACTCTTCATATATGATTCTACCTGAATATTTACTAGATGCTGCTATTAAACTACAAAGCACGATAAATTGGGCTGTCTCTGTAAGCTTCTCTTCTTTTCCTAATTTCAATATAGAAGTCCTGTGTTTAAGATCATTATCAAAGTTGTTTTTAAAAGAAGCATTTGTGTTGACTTAAAATTTGCCCTATCATGTTATGGGGAAGAGATATAAAATCTTACTTTTAGTATGAGGAACATTCTTATTTCCGTTGGTTTATCAGCATTTACAAACTAATGATCTCTTTCCCTCCTTGTATAAATTTAACTTAACTGCAGGATTTACAAAAACCCAACTCACAATGTTTTTATTTTTCATGAAGTCACCTGATTTTGCCCAGAGATAAGTGTGTGTTTTTAATATATTTCTTCTGTATATTTATATATGTACTAAATATAAAAGTAAGACATAGTATAAACTATAAAAACATTGCTTGATTATTACCTGAAGGATTAATAAGAAATGGTTATGAGAATAACTGTTTTAGTCATATTTCTGCCTTTTAAATGTATAATGAATTGCATAATTATGAAGTTACTTAAATGATTCTTTGTAAAATGTAAACCATAATTTTATGTTATTAGTTTTAAATTATTGTTGATGTAATGAAATTCAGAGATCAGTGGATCAGAAAAAGACATGTTTATTAGAACACAGAGAGTTATACAATTGGAACATACACTGGGACAGGAGAAATAGGAAAGAACGTCGGATAAACAAAGTTACATGTATTTATAGCCTTCTTGGGCTCAAAAGTTAACGGCGAATCAGAACATTCTGATAACATGCGAACGTAGAAGAAAACTGCTTCAAATAAATGCGATTACATTTTTTTCCTCAACACCCGCCCTTAATCGCACAATACATAAATGCAATTAATATATAACATTATAAAAAGACAAAATTTCTGACAGTCTTACTCTAGGGAAGGATTTTGTTAACATATCAGCAATCTGAAAATTAGTTGTTATATAATTAACTTTAATATCATTCTCAGTGATAGCATTTCGAATTTATTTCAATTTGATATCGATATGCTTTAGCCTGCCATGAGAATTTTCATTGGTTACACATTTAAACTCATGTTTGTGAAAATTGCAACACCATGAAGGATGGTTTGAATTTGATTCCATGAAATTTTATTCTTTTGTAATGTTTCTTTTATGCTAAATTTTAAAAGCTTGAGTTCCCTTCAAATATCTCAACACTTTCTTTAAAGCACACCAAGTTACATCAGTAAAATTTTCCTGAATTTGACTAAGACAATTAACTGCAAATAAAATATCAGGTCTAGAAACATATCTTAAGTATAATAAAGAACCAATTAATTCGTGATTTGGACCTACAAATTTATCTCCTTTCATAAAACTAGCAGATATAGATTTGGGTGCAATTGGTAGAGAGCAAGGTTTGCACTCAGACATGTTAAATTTATCAAGCAATTTCACTATATATGATTCTTGATTTAACAACATTCCATTAGAAGTTAATTCAATATGAATACCTAAGAATTCAGACATTTTCCCTGATTTAGACATTCTAAATTCATTAGATATTAAAGAAATGATAGTATTTACTTCCGTATCATCCGACCCTGCAATTAAAAGATCATCTACATATAAAGCTATCGAAATTCACCAATTGGTAGAATTTCTTTCAAATATGCATGGTTCATTAACAAACTGTTTGAAATTTAATTTTAGAATAAAATCAAGAAATCTTTTAAATCATTGGCGTGGTGATTGTTTTAAGCCATACAAACTCTTATTAAGCTTACATATCTTATTACTGTTATCATTATAACCTTACGGTTGTTCCATATAAATAGTTTCATTAAACTCACCATTTAAGAAAGCACATTTAATATCTAATGTATAAAAATTCATATTCTCATTTAAAGCAATAACAAGCAATATACGTAATCCTGATTAACCTACAACAGGAGAAAATGTTTCTTTGTAATCTATACATTCCTTCTGCATGTAACCCAAGGCAACAAGCCTTGCCTTGTACTTACCGTCCCTTTTTTTTTGTAACACCCACTAACAGTTTATAGTTTTTCTTCCGGGTGGAAGTTCAGTTAATTCCCAAACTTTGTTTACTTTCATGCTTTCCATTTCCTCGTCCATAGCTCCCTGCCACAACTGTTGTTCTTGTGGGGGGAGGGATGCGAGGTCATCATAGTTCAACATGTCGCAGAGAGTGAACATAGCGAATGTCTCAGGTTTGGGGTATCTTACTGGGGGTCTTTTATCCCACTTGGATTTATGAACAGTTTCTTCTTTAGGGGTGTCATCCTCTTCTTCGTCATTCGAGGACACTTTTTTACGTTTAAATGTAACACTGAAGCCTGCTGCTTTAATATTTCGCACAGAAATAAGTTCGCAATTTAATTCTGGAACAAAGAGGACATTTTAAGAGTTATTTCAACTCCAGTTGAGGATGGAAAATTGCGACGCACATTTCACTGTTCCGGACATTGGTTTAAGAGACGAGAACCAATCCTTATGCGAACACGTGTGTGATGTTGTTCCCAAATCAATGATGAACTTGTCACAACTGACATCTCCAATGACAAAAGAAAATACTGCCGATGAGCTGGTTTCATTCTGTTTAAAAATTTTGCAGTCTCTCTTCTCGTTTAAAAATTTTGCAGTCTTAGTTCTTCTTCTCTGCAGTCTCTTCATGACCTGTTTTGCCACAATTAAAACAGGTAATCTTTTTACGACAATATTTGACAGTGTGTCCTTTAAGCTTGCAAAATGAACAAAATAAGTCCCAGCATTTATTTGCATTTTCAGGTGATTTCAGGGAAAAAGTTACATTTTCCGAAAGAAACTTATTCTTTTTACTTTTATTTTCCCCTTTGAAATCAAATAAGAAAGCCGTAGTGTCTATCAATCTTTGAGAGACAAATTCGAAGGAAAGACTTTCATTCGGTTGATTCTCTAAAGCAGCTTTAACATTTTCATATTCCTGTGGTAAGGACATCAAAAGGTAAACAACTGTGTCTAAATTGCTCACTTCAGCACCGGAGATTCGCAGATTATTCACGAGCTTGTTGACATCATCAATGTGTTGTCTCATGAAAACATCTTGGCGCTTCCGCATCATAGCCAGGCGCTTCCGGGTGAGTATTTGACAGACTACACCCTTCGCCTCATAAACTGAGTGGAGTTTTTCACCGTGCAAATGTTGTAGACGAATGCCTTAAATCGGAGGATATCACCCGTATGGATTGGCCAGCATGCTCACCTGACTTGAATCCAATAGAGCATGTGTGGGATATGCTTGGCCGACGAATTTCAGCCCGTCAACCCCCGTCCCACCTGTCTACCGGACTTTCGGAGGGCTTTGCTTGATGAGTGGTGTAATATTCCCCAAGATCAGATTGATAATTTGATACTCAGCATGCCTAGGCATTGTACGATCCGTATTGCATTGTCCGGGAGGCATACTCCGTATTAACCATCATACTAACCATGTTATACTGTTTTTAGTAAATAGGTTCTTTTTTGAAATTTGCTCCAGGGAGTGAAAATCGCAATTTTTATTAATTATGTCAAACATATAGCATCTTTTTTGCTCTTTACCTTTTGTTTAATACACAGACTTTACAAATAAGTCAAATTTGTTTGGCTTCTGTTTCTTTCTGTGCCTGAACTTCATTATCCCTAATTTATGGACATGGGTGTAGTTGAACTAATAATAATAAAATAATGGTTGAATAAAGGCAAAATTAAATAGTTGAACTAATTTTGATTGTAAATAAACATAAAATAAAAATCATTTTATATAAAATGAATAAAGAGAACAATTCAAATTTTTTTAAACAACTTAAAATTTCCATCATAAAGCTTTAAATTCTAAATCTTCTAAATCTAATAATGATAAATCTAAATCTAAAAATTAAATCTTCTGAAAATGATAAATAGTAAATAACCAAAAAATTTTAAAGGAATAATAGTTTTAAGTGCAAATAAACATATTTATTAAAAAAATCAATTTGGGAATGTCCCTTTAGCTCACAATTTTTTTAAATTTCTTGTTGAATTGTAAATTCGATAAAAATCATTTTAAATAAACTGAATCAAGGAAACAATTCACATTTTTGAAACAACTTGAAATTTGATTTCATTTTCTAAAAATAGTAAATAAGTATATGATACCCAGTGTACCATTATAAACTCCATGAAAATTCTGAAACATCATATCGAGTTGAATAGATATGATATTCTATTCACTTTGAACAATTTGTGGATGGTCCTTTAGTGCATCATGTTAAATTAATGCAATTTCAGAATTGTAAGGTTTAAGTGGAAATCAGGCAAAAAAAAAAAAAAATTAAAAAACGGAACGATGTTGAAAATTAGCACATTGAATTGAAGTTGGTCTTGGTGTCGTGTAATTGAGTCAGAAAATAAATTATTTAACCTAAACATAAAAAGTTTGTAATTTTATTAATAACAAAATGTGTTAAAATATTTTAAATTAATATTACATATTTTAAATAATAAAATCTGTATAATAAAAATTTATGAAAAATAGGAAATAATAGGGCAATAGCTTTACTGTAGCTATAAATAATGATATAAAATCAATAATGAAAAATAATAATAAAAAAACAGTTACCGTAATTTATGGAAGAAACGCCGCGGCGTTTACGAGTTTAAAAGCTTTAAAATTTTAAGTGCGGCGTTTAGGATATTTTAAAAATAAATTTTAAATTTTTCAAAGAAAATTTTTTTTTTAATCAAAATAGTTACGAATTATGGCAAGAGATGGCTCCACTATTGATAACCCACCACCCCTTAAAGAAAGTGGGTTGATCTCGATCTAGTTCCCGCCAAACCACGTGGTTGATAGCTCTTTCACATTTTTTCTCACTTTGTTACAACGTGCTTTGTTGAGAAATTAAATTGCGGAAAATTTTCTTTTTAGTATTTACTAATATTTATACATCGTTGTTATGGACGCGACTTATAAACTGATATCTTCTTATTTAAATAAAAGAGGTATATTTTCAAAAAATAAATAATTTAAATTAAAAAAAATATTTATAAAATGTAAATATGTAGTACAGTATGGAACCCAAAATTCGGCACTTAATCCGACCATTTTTTTTTTTTTTTTAAGAAATTTTTTTGATAAGAGAGAAAAAAATCAGTAATATTTTCTTTTTATTTGGAATTTTTTTCTCTTGAAGTAAGTAACTATATTTTATCTTTTAAAAATAAAAACATGAAGAGAAAAAATAATAAATCTGTGTCAAACAAAATATCTGTTCCTAAAGCAGTTTAAAATAAAGTGAAATTGAAAAGTAAAAACATCTGCATTTCCAATAAACAAAATAAATGCAAGTTGGGAGAGACTGATGAATCAATCTTGACAGCTGTGCTAGTGCTTTACTGGTTTGTCCCCCCACATTTCCCTCTTCTGTTTGACCATAAATTAGCCACACCCTTTTGACATTGAAACTTCTTTCTCACTTGGTGTACAAAGTGAATTCTATCCCTTTTGCTGCTTTTTTTTTTAAAAAAAAATTCGATTTATTTATCGTTTTATTGTTTATTAACTGTTACTTTTTTTTGTTAACTTGTTTTTTTTATCGTTATTAGTTGTTTGCTTCTTTTTTGTAGTTATTCATTGTTAGTTTCTTGCCATTAATTGTTACTTTTTTTGTAGTTCCTTGTTAGCTTTTTTTCTCCGAGGTGAGCGTCTTTTGTTAAAACAAAATGTTATGTAAAAGAAAAAACGAGAACAATGATCTCGCTCTGAAGAAGAGACGATTACTTCTTTTTCGGATTATTTCATCTTGAATTATTTATCCTTCGGATTATTTCTTCTTGATTATATCTTATAGATTATTATTTTAATTAATGAAATTTCTAAAGATGGGACAGTTTTAAATTCACCCCATCAAAATCTGCAATTGAAACTTAGCTAAATTTATTGGTTTTTCTGAAATTAACAGCGTAATTGAATTATCGTAATGCACGGGCGCCATATTGGAATTTCCGTAAGAGATCCGAAATACGGAATTTCGGCGGTCCCGTGAGTGCCGAATTTTGGGTCCTATACTGTAATGTAAAAAAATCATTTATATTAAAGTATTATAAAGATAGTTATTTAAATTTTTTACTTAATGATGGCACCAACAGCCGATTGTAAGATGTTGTTCTGAGTAGTTTGTCCAAAATATACAATAGCAGATTACATTCTTGATTATATTATAATTATACATTTATAAATTTTAGTTTAAAACAGTAGTAGTATTCATAAGGAATTAATGTTATATATTCACTTTTGCCGCTAAATCATTATTATGGGTGCAGCGTTTACAACATGTGCGGCGTTTACCATGATTTTTTTCTTTTAAGTCTCATTATCACAAGTGCGCTGTTTACGATAGGTGCGGCGTTTCTTCCATAAATTACGGTACCTAAAACATAAGCTTTCATAGTAAGTGCAAATTACAAGCATGATAAATTATGCATATATTTGAGAGACGTGTTATATCGCTTATTTCTGTTATGTTTCTAACACAGCTTGAAATACTAAATTGTACTTTAAACTATTATAACGAAACATCTTGAATAGTTGCAACAATTTTATAAATCCACCCTTATTTTATTGAGGGTTGATATAAAACTAAATAATCAATAAATCAGTACTAATCAATAGTACGAAATCTTGTACAAAGTTAATAGAGATATGTGAACACAATTAATCAACTTAAAATATCAGTTTTTTTATTTAGTGTTATTTGTTGCTCTTCGTTATGGTCTTATGTTATTAGATTAAGCAAAATATGTTTTTTAAAGATGTTTTTTAAAGTTCGTTCTATTAGAATGATATATAAATATGTATAAATAAAATTTTTCCTTTTTTTTTTAGGAATTTATTGAGTTTTTAAGTTATAGACCTGTTATAGATTACTCAAGGAATGATATATCAGCTGCTATTGAAAAGTAAGTTATGTAGGGTGAGTAAAAAAAATAGACCACCTTTTACAGAGATGCCAATTTGCTCTGTTTTGTGTAAAAAAAATTTCTAGTTGTAGCAAAATGTATGTTTTGATCTATGATTCATAAAAAATTTGACTAAAAGTTATTTTGTCAACCACTGCATATAAACAATCATGGAAAAGTTCAGTAGGAAAATTGGAAACTTTTTTTTTTTCTGCCTTGCAAGCAAAATATAAGAGCTTAAATTTGCAATCTTGAGCAATACTATGTATTTTTATATAAATGTATAATTTTTTTAGAATTTTTTCTGTGCTAATATTTCTTTAATTGTTGTCGTGTATTTAGCCATTCGAGGCTATGTTAAGAACTATCATATCACGCCTACGCAATCAAATTGAGACTTTCCCTCTTAAAAGTTTCAGTTTAGATTCATCACCTGTTAGTGTTGCATTAAGACACATCTCTGTATTCTAAATTTTAAATGTTGTAAATTATTAATAAATAGTGCTTACTGTATATAAGAGTGTTATTTCCTAAAACCCCACGCTATGGGACAGCACACTGGTGACGAGTTGGTGAATTATTTTCCACAAATACAAAATATCATTGCTTGAAAAAGTTTCTTTTCAAAACGAATCTAATTTGGATTAGGGTTTCAAGTACCTGTGGATAGGTAAACATGTTTACTCTTGAAGACTGCTCCAGGTAGGACAATTTATTTCTTTTTTCCAAATGGAAGACCTCATCTCTCAATTAGTTGAACAAAATAAATTGTTGATGTCGGCGTTGCAGTCGAAAGACAAAACCAGTAACAAAAGTAACATTACTGGTGTGAATTTCGAGAAATTGGATGATTCCCAAGAAACATTTAAATCTTTTTTGGAGCAGTTTGAGGTTTTTTTGGACATACAAAATATTCCAAGCGAAAACTTCAATTTCCAGCTTATCAGCTAAATTGTATAATTTGTTAAAAAATTTGTTGGCACCCAACAATCCAGCTGAAGCTGATTTTGAAACCTTAAAAAGCACTCTTAAAGATCATCTTCACCCAAAACCATTAATTATTCCTAGCAGACATATTTTCCTTAATGGAAAACAACATGAGGGAAAAAGCATTATTGCTTATTTAGCAGAACTCTGTTCATTGGCAATACCATGCAATTATGAAAAAGAACTGCTGAACACTATGCTGCGGGATGTTTTTGTGAGCGATCTCCCTGATTGTGCCACATTAGACAGACTTTTTGAAGAAGAAGATATATAAATCTCAAGCGCACTGTTAAAATTGCTTTGGCCATGGAAAAGGCTAGCAAGAGCAAAGAAATAATTGGGAAGGCAACAGAAATTAAAGAATTTAAGGCTAACAAGAAAAAAGAACGCAGAACAATTCTGGTCTAACAAAGCAAAAGTTGAAAATAACTCTGTATGTTATCGGTGTAAGGGATCTTCCTCAAGGAATGCAAATACAAATCAGTAACATGCAACTACTGCCTTAAGGTTGGACATCTAACAAAAGTGTGTGTTTCTGCCACTAGAGCAAAACAAAATAAACATGTTAACCAGAAACAAATTATACTGAACCTGGATGTTCAGGTGAAAATACTATATCCGTGCCGTAGCACACATTAAATGACAAAACATTTAACTAGGAATTACCTAAAAGACCACTAATAATGATTAAAATAAATATAGAAAATTCTTTAGTTCAAATGGAGGTCGACACTAGAGGAACAGTTTCGGTTATGAGCATCAATAGGTTCGAAAAATCTCTAATAAAAAGATTAAACCTACTAACTTATTTTTAAAACCTACAAGGAAGCTGAGGTTGTACCTCTTGGATATGTTTCTGTTAAAGTTGAATATAATAATATATCATATAATTTAAATTTATGTCTAGCAAAAGAGAATTTAGACACTATTTTTGGCAGGGAATGGCTTTATGAAATTCCATTAAATTGGAATACCATTAAAACAATTAATACTGTTAATATTAAACTTAATTTTGATTTATCTATACTTTCAAAAGACTTTCAACATCTCTTTAAGGATGAATTAGGGGAAATAAAAAATTATGAATGTAAGCATGAGTTAAGGGAAGACACCAAACCAATTATTTGCCGACCCTGGCCAGTTCCCTTTGCGCTAAAACAGAGAGTCAATCAGGAAATCGAAAGGGACGGATTTATCGAAAAAATAAATATATCCGATTGGGTCACGCCCATAGTACCGATTGTCAAAAACAATAAATCGATTAGGCTATGTGCTGATTACTCAGTAACGATAAACAAACATTTAAAGGTACAAAAACACCTGCTTCCTCGAACTGAAGATATATTTGCATCACTTAGTGATGGCAGGGTATTTTCTAAAGTTGGTTTCAGCCAAACTTATTTGCAAATGAAGGTTGAAAAGGAAAGTCAGAAACATTAATACAGAAAAAGGTCTTTATACTCCAAAAAGATTAATGTACGGAATTGATTTGGCTCCAGCTATTTGGCAAAAATACATGGAAAGTGTGTTTCATATTTGTGTATTTTTTGATGACGCACGCATGGCAGCTCCCGATAACGAAACTCATTATTTTTATTATGAAAATTTTTTTAAAGATGTCAAAAACATGGTTTGAAAATAAATAAAGATAAAAGTAAATTCTTTCAAAGTGAAATTGAGTTTTTAGGATAAGTTCTAAGGAACTTTTAAAAACATCGGAAAAATAGCTGCAATTACAAAATGCTAAGGCGGCTCAAAATGTTCAAGACGTTCAGTCATTTATAGGTCTCGTGAATTTTTATTCAAGGTTTTCTAAAGACTTAGCAACTTTGGCCTATCCTGTATACAACTTAACCAAGAAAACAGGATGTCCACCATCTGGAAAAGTCAGGGAAATTTACATTTTTCTTAGAAAAACCTGGAAATTTTTTTAACTTTTTGAATAAAACGATGGAAAAAAAATTTCATTGAAAACAGAGATTTGTAAGAAAATGAAATTTCTTTTCATTTTTTTTAAGTGGTAAAAGAAACCACTTTTCTTTAAGCAGTTCTTCCTCCCTCCCTTTTGTTCACAACTATGAATTCCAGTCTCCCTTGGGGGTTGGACTTGCCCCCAACTTTAGTTGTTTATCCCTTTCTCCCTCCCTCAGGCAGTTATAAGCAATGGTAAGTGTTTCATGCAATTTTAGGGGTGATGGATTCTTCAATTGACAATGAAAAGCTGCTTAGTTTTTACTTACCTATAAAAGATTAACTATTCCAAATAAGGATAAACTGGTTTTTAGGTTGTATTGTTAAATTTTACTGCTTTGGTGGTTATTTGATTTGTAGAAATTTTTTTATCTTTTTTTTGTAAAAATCTGCTTTTGGTCTGGAAAATGTCTTCAGGGAAAACTGTATTTAATTCTGATTGGTGTGAAGAGAAACTTAAGCTTAACTGGTCAAAATGGCTGAAACCTCATGAAAAAATTCATGTGCTGCTATATGTTCAGCATGTAACAAAACTATTTCTTTGAGCAATATGGGAAGACAAGCCATTATAAGTCACAAAAAAGGACCAAAGCATCAGAAAAATATTGGATTAAAAAATTCTTCAAATATGCTTATGCAGCAGTTTGTAAAAAATCTGCAATTAGTTCTTCAGTGCATGGGAGTCCAGGATCAATGCCTTCAACCAATTCTTCAGTGCCTGTGATTACAGCATCAGTGCCCTCGACCAGTTCTTCAGTGCTTGTTAATACAGAAGTCTGTACAGTCTGTGGAAAGAAATTCTTCTAAAGGTTCTAAAAAAATTATAGATAAATACTTCCTAAATGACCAAGTAAGTAAAGCTGAAATAATATGGTGTCTTTGCACAGTGATGACTCATTCCTCTTATTATTCAAATTCAGACTTGTCTGATATTCTTAAAATCATGTTTCCTGATAGTGACATTGCTCAGAAATTGAAGCTGAAAAAAGACAAGACATCATATACAATTTGTTTTGGATTGGCTCCTTTTTTTAGAGATGAATTAGTCGCTGTTCTTTCATCTTTAGATTTAGAATCATGCATTGTATGTTTTGATGAATCATTAAACAAAGTTGTCCAGAAAGGTCAAATGGACATACTTGTCAGGTTTTGGCAGAAAAATATGAATACCGTTGTAACACATTATTTGACATCTGTTTTCCTAGGGCATTGGGATGCAGAATCTTTATTTAATGCTCTGAAAAGTTCTATGCCTGATCCTGTTATGAAAAAAATACTTCAACTCTCTATGGATGGCCAGAATGTGATTCTAAAGTTGCATTCATTACTACAAAGTGATTTGCAGGAGCAACCTGGCTCTAAATCTCTTTTGAATATTGGTTCTTGTCGTCTTCATTTTGTTCATGGCGCTTTCAAGACAGGACATAAATGTACATCCTGGGATTTGAATAAGTTTCTCTATGCTGTCCTTAACTTGTTTAAAGATTCACCTGCCAGACGTACTGATTTTGTGCATTTTACAAAAAGTATTGTCTTCCCCCTGAAATTTTGTTCTATTCATTGGGTCGAAAGTTCAGCTGTGGCACAGAGGGCTTTAGAGATTTTGCCACCATTAAAAGTCTTTATCCAAAAGGTAGAAGCTGAAAAGATAGAACCAAATACAAAGACTTATGACACAGTAAAATCAATGCTAAAATGTACTGAGCTGTTAGAGGCAAAATTAGGCTTTTTTATTTCTGTGTCATCAGAAGTGTGCGGCTTTTTAATGAGGTTCCAGACTGATAAACCAATGGCACTTTTCTTGTATAAAGAAATGTACTTGATGCTTAGCAATTTAATGAGGAGATTTGTTGAAAAATCTGTTATAGAGCAGAATGATTCTGCAATGAAGTTGATGGAAGTAGATGTCACCCAAAAATTTAACCTTCTACCAATTATAGACGTGGACATTGGATTTGCAGCCAGGCGTAGTCTTAAAGAAAGCAAAGTCACAGATACTGCTAAGTCTATTTTTAAGAAGGAGTGTCTCCTATTTTTACAAAAAATGACTCTAAAATTGATGGAAAGGAATCTGCTGCGTTTCAAGCTTGTGAGAGGCGTAAGTGGTCTGTCCCCAACAGTTATATCTGGTTCAAATTTATCTGCATTAAAAATATAGAAATGGCTTTGGATTGCAATCAAATGTCAGCAGTCACTGCTGATAAAGTAAAATCAGAATTTTCTAAGTTTGTTGAAGACTATCACATTAAAAAAGAAATGTCGGAATTTAAGCGTGAGAGTGGAAGATTAGATGTCTTCTATTCGTCATTGATGACTGAAAGCACAAACTATCAAAACTTGTTCGTATTCATTAAAAATATTTTAATTATGTCTCATGGAAATGCTGCTGTGGAAAGTGGTTCCAGTATTAATAAAGCTTTGCTTATTGAGAACATGCAAGAAAAGTCAGTAGTTGCTTAAAGAACTGTATACGATAGTATTAGTAATGCTGGAGGTTTATTTAAGATACATGTAACTAAAAAGATGATACTTGCAGCAAGAAATGCTATCATGAAGAGCTAAAAGCGAAAAAACTTATGGAGAAAGAATTGGAAGAACTAGCAACTAAGATAAAGAGGGCTGCTGAGGAAATAAAAGAACTTAAAGTGAAGAAAACGAAAATCCAGCAAGAAGTAGAGGGACAGTTAGCTGATGACATGATAAATTATCTTAATCATTAATTTTATTTTTATTGTGATTTTTAACAAATTCAGATTTTGTCTTTGTTTATAAAAGTAGATGTAGTAAAGGGGCAAATTGAAAATATTTTGTAAAAAGAAATTTGAATAAAGTTTTTGCCTTTCTATTACTATAGTATTTAAATCTTATTTTGTGTTTTTTTAAACATAAGAATTTCATTTTTGTTTAAAAAAAATTGTATTCTTTAATTTAAATTCCTTTTTAACAAATAAGGTTATGGCTTAAGTTATTATGCTTGAATGTGTAGTTTCATATTAAGGAAATTTTCAAAAATCAATTTAAACTGAAAATAAACTTAAAAACTGTTATTTTAAATGTTTTGCTTGGTTTTTAATTTCGAATATAAATTATATTCAATTATCAATATATGAGAAGTGTTTTTTATTTTTAGAAAATTAATATCATTATGGCTCTAATTCCCTAAAGGGAAACCTGGAAATTTCTTGATTGGTGTATGGAAAACCTGGAAAAGTCAGGGAAATTAAAAAAAAATTTTTGAGTAGACACCCTTAAGAAAACCGTTATTTGGAAATGGAATCGCACTTGTCAGGAAGCTTTCGAAAGTGTGAAAAACGAAATTTGCTCTGACAAAATACTAACTCATTATGATCCAAATCTTGCTGTCTTCTGATGCTTCAACTGTAGGGTTGGGAGCAGTACTTTCCCAAATGGTTCCGAACGACGCATAGCATTTGCCTCCAGAACTCTATCTCCAACGGAGCAACATTACTCTCAAATTGACAAGGAAGCTTTGGCAATCGTTTGGAGTGTTTAAAAGTTTTGCCTCTACTTAAAGGGAAATAGATTCCCTTTGATAACTGACCACAAGCCCCTGGTTTCCATCTTTTCATGTAAAAAGGGTCTTCCAGTCCTTTCTGCAACAAGACTTTTGCATTATGCTCTTGTTCTGCAAGCTTATAATTTTGATATCATTTATCGCAATACAAAGGAACACGGCAATGCTGACTGCTTATCGCGTCTACCATTGAAATCTGAAGAACTGGAATTAAAAGATGATATTGCAATATACCAAATTTCCCAAATTGAAACCTTATCCGTTACTGCCAAAGATTTAGCAATAGCCACTCAGTTCGATGAACATTTGGGAAAACTTAAAATTATTACAATATGGAGGTTACTTAGAGGAGAAGGAAAAATATACTTTACAAGATGGGTGTATTATGTATGGGCAATGAGTGTGTATTCCAGACTGCTACAAAGCAGAAATATTAGACGAGTTGCATCTTGGTGTAGTTAAAATGAAAGCAATTGCCAGATCTTACGTTTATTGGCAAGATATAGAAAATTCCGTAAAAAACTGTTTCGACTGTTCAGGACCTATATTTGAACGGATGTCTCTACTCATTGTGGACGCCCATTCAAAAGAGCTTGAAGTTTACCCCCACAGCCAACTTGTTCAAGAAAATTGAATGTCTCCAAGATTGCTTTTCACATTTTGGACTACCTGCAGTTTTAGTTTCCGACAACGGCTCACAGTTTACTTATACTCAAGAGTTCCAAACATTTATACAAAGCAATGGCATTAAGCATAAGACATGGGCCCCTTTCACACCATCTATCAATTGACAAGCTGAGCGCTACATGCACGCCTTAAAGCAATCTCTCCATGCCATTCAGAACTTGGCAGGGAATATCTAGCAAAAGGTTAGCACATTCCTCATGCAATATCGCAAGGCTCTTTTGTGACAACCATGATAAGTCCGGCTATGCTTTTCCTTCTGAGAGACATTAGGACTAAAATAGATCTTGTTCTCCCTGACTTGGTAGGAAGAGTCAATGAGAAGATCAGGAAAAACATGCATGCTTTCCAAGATTGCATTTTTCGATTGCATTTTTCTAATCGAGACTATCGTTCACCCAACGTAAGATGGAAATTTGGAACAGTTATGAGCAAAAATGGAACTCTTCATTATACAGTAAATGTGCAAGGTACACTGTAAAGATGCCATGTAAACCAAATGCAACCAACAGGAGACCAAATCTTGGATAAGACTGTTCACATTCCACGAATTAGTTTCAGCAGTGAAATCCCACACATCGGCGCTACTGATAATTCTCCTGCAACCACTGATCCTATGGGAGATATCCAAAAACTCTGTGAATCTGTCAAACCATTATCGGAAACTCGCCAACCATCTCCAACCAAGAACCCGAGTTCAGCTGTTTTGCCAAGATGTACTCCATCTTCAACTTCTCAACAAATTCCATTTCAGCCGAGGTGATCACAAAGGATTAGACGGCTCCCTAAGAGACTTGACCTTTAAATTTCCAATTTTTAAAGGGGGAGGAGATGTCGTGTATTTAGCCGTTCGAGGCTATGTTTAAGAACTATCATATCACGCCTACGCAATCGAATTGGGACTTACCCTCTTAAAAGTTTCAGTTTAGATTCCTCACCTGTTAGTGTCGTTAAGACGCATCTCTGTATTCTAAATTTTTTATGTTGTAAATTATTAATAAATAGTGCTTGCTGTATATAAAAGTGTTATTTCCTAAAACCCCATGCTATGGGACAGCACAATTGTCTTCACATGGCATGTTTTTATTATGATAAAAGCTGAGGAAAAGTTAATTTGTTAGATAATATTCTAAATCTATTTTTGAACTTACTTGAATTATTACTGCTAAATTGGAATGTGCAGAATGTCAATTTGCATGGAAAAAATATTTTAACGTTATATTATTGCATATGTCTATTTGAATAATGTATATTGCTTCAGAAAAGCATGTCACCAACATTTCATCCAATAAAAAGCAGTATATCTGATTAATAGTCCAGTGAAAAATGTCTTTTATTTTTTATATTTTATTAATCACATGAATGTAAAATGCCTCAATAACGTTTTCATATCTTGAATAATTTCTATGAAAGAAAAGGTCATGAAAATTTGTTTTGAGTTTATGAATTTTTTTCTCTGAAACCTGCTGGACACCCTGTGTAGTCTGAGATTCACGCCGTTTATCTGTTACCACCAAGACAATATCATTGAATGACATGCAGGATTGCTCGTTTGGGGCGGAGTAATACTGAGCTCTTGAGCAGATCTGCATGTTCAAACAGGAACCGTGACAGGTGAACAAGTTGCAGCCCCTCAACCACCTCCTACTTGTGAACTTGAGAGAACATATTGCTGAGTGAAGTAATCTTCCTCACGATCATCTTGATATTTTGATAAGCATTTTGCAGACTGTATTATGTCACATTGGAGACTTACAATATATTAACTATCATAAAAGGAATGCGATATTAAGTTTTTGCATTGGAGATATTTTTTATAATGGCTCCGGGTTGCAAAAATCATAGTTTTATTAATGTATCATGCATTCACCACTTTTTTTGTTCTTTATTTTTTGTTTAATAAATGGGCTTTATAAATTTGTCAAATAAATTATGTTTGTTTGGTTTCTGAATTTTTATTCGTTTGAGCTGACATAACCCCTTGTCTGCCACGAGTATATATATACATTTTGTTAAGCCGTTACCTCCGCTGGTGCATATATATGCATTTCTGAAGTATGCATTGCTCAATGCTATTTGCCAAGTGCTGCTATCTGTAAAACTACTCCCACAGCTTTGGAGTGCAACAGAATAACCCTAAGAGGGTTTCTTTTTTTTTCTTTCTCCAAAACTAAGAAGGTGAATCTTGAAAGCAAAGGGTTAATTTATGGACATGAGTGTATTCTAAACATCCCCTAACAATCACTTTCGAAGAAAATATTTTCTGATTCTTATTCTTCACTTATGCATATGAGAATAAATAAAACAATAATAAATACCTAGGAAAATAATTTATTAACAAGTGCTCAATTCTTAAAAAATGAGAAAATGTTAAAAAAAACCAAACAAAATGACATGATACAAAGACTTATAACATTGAACAGTTAAAGTTTAAAATATATTGAAAAAATTTGTTTCTTCAATTACAAACAACTTTAAGTCATCAAACTTTCAGTTTTGCCAGTTAATGGCTTACTAACTGTTCTTAGCTTCCTTATTCTTTAGTGAAATTAATGTAATTTTTTGTTTAACAAATAATTAAAGTTAGATAGATTAACTGTCCCGCTCATGACAGAAAATATGGATTTAATTAATTAAGAATATTCATTATTTATAATTTCTTACAACGAATATTTTTTTTTCAAAAGACATTTTTCTTTCATAGGATATTTTCTGAATTGAAACTTGCATCAAACTTTAAAAGTTTAAAGTTAAATTTTAGAAACCATTTATACTAAATTTACTTATTTTGTTATTTTTAGTTATACTATGTTTCATGTTCATGATAAAGTGTTTCCTGTTGTGAAAAAAAGCTGCCTTGAGGAAGATAAAAAATTAACACAGAAACTTTTATCACTTTATGATTCTCATGTTACACCCGATCAACTTGGAGTTCAGGAGGCATTTTGTTGCCAAACACCTAGTGCTGTAAGTTATAATATTTTTAGCTATTTTTGATTAACTGATATTTTGATTAAATAAAAGTCAAACACTGAAAATTTGAGACCAAAATATATATTCAAATTATGTAAAAATCCCAATTTAAATAGTTGCAACATTTTAATATTTTTTTATGTTACAATTTCTGAACACTGTAATGTATGCCTTATAGCTCAGTGGAAATTGTTAATGGACTGAATTCCTTGATGTTTTTTTCACCTTATGATATATGTTGTTAGAATCAAAATTCTATAAAAAGAAACTACCCTGTGTGGTTAAGTGTTTAAATGAAGAAATAGATTATATAATGATATAGAACAAAATAGTTCAAATTTATATGAGAAATATGTTTGAAGTAGGAGAAGGGTGTCACTAAGCTTTTCAAGATTTGAGAAAGAATCAATATTTTTTTAAATCTTAGAAAAGCTAATATTTTGATTTAGTTTTTGAAAGTGTAAACTGAATTACTGACAATAAACAGGGAAATGTATCAGTGCTAAATTAATTAGAGGAGTAGCACCAAGTCAATGTTTTTTTTTATTTGAAGATATAAGATTAGCAAAGCCAAATGTAGGTAAACTAAAATTAAACAAAATTCTATCGCGGAAATGATTAAATTGGTTCTTTCACTTTAATGTCACTGTTTTTAAAAAAGGCTGAACTCATTTTTTCAAATTAGCAGGCAATGCACTTTACCGGTATACAATAATAAAGACCCACATTTTCTTTATATGTGCAACCAATCAGATAAAGAATATGTGAAAAAATTAAGAACAAAACATTCAATAGAAGCAAAAGTTCTAAGAATTAGCAGTTTCTATGTAATACTATAGAAAATGGCCCAGAAAAAGCTGGTTACTTGTAAATTTAACTTTATTTTGCTTTGTGACTGAGCTATTTTGACTTAATTGCAGAAAACATCTTTCTCAAAACCCTATGTTTCATTCAGGTAAAAATTTGGAACAAAAGTTAATTATTCTATTTTATTTTTACCAGATTCTATACCAATTTTTTTTTTTTAAGTTTCTTTTTTTTAAAAGTTTCTTTTTTTATGAGCTTAAGATTTTTTTTATTCTTAACCCACTTATCCCAGGTGCAAAAAGGGGTATGAAAAACTCCTTTTGATAAAATTAGTAGTACGTATTTCTTTATAGTAACAGCCTTATGCAACTGAAACAAAGTTTGATCAAACTAGTGGCTTATGCTCTATAGTCAGGGACAATCAGGGAGATAGAAATATAAAATTGTAGTTTTGTGTTGCAAACACTTTGCTATAATTTTATGTAAATATCACACTGATTCAACAATGGTATGGTATAAAATGGGGTAAGAGATGCAAATATTTTGGATTACTTATTAGCATACATAAAGTAATTTCGGGAATGATGAACTATGATTTGATCGTTATCAGTTGTCGCTTTCAAATTGTTTATTTATCACTAGTAAAAATAAATTGCTAATACAGTAGAGAACCATTTATCCGGTATCCAGATAACCGGGAAACCAGAAAACCGGGAAAAATTTTGCTTGATTTTCCCTCCATTTTAAACTAGAACGATTTTAAACTAGAACGAAAAAAGCGGAAATTGGACTCATCCTTGAAGTTGAGTAGAGGAAAATGTAAGGAAGGGGAAATTTTTTTTCCCCGTTTACCCAGAGAAACGTCATTTCCTCCGTGACCTTGAAGGCAGGGAAGGGAGGAATGTTTTATTTTTTCCTTTAGGCCGTCAATCAAACTCAAGGGTGTGGCATGCTGATTTCGTTTTCTGCTTGATTTACGAGGGGGGTGGGGAAAATGCATTGCATGCATATCAGTGAACAGAAAAAGAAAAGAGAAAAATATATTTATTTGACATCGACTAATAAAAATAAAATCTTTTTCTTTTGAATAAATTCTCATTCTTTGGAAGTGCGGTATCAATTGCAAGTTTTTCTTGGTGTGGAATCACATCTGCTGTAATTAAAAATCTTGTTTTTATCAACAAAAAAAAAAATAAAATAAAAGGAGAATTGTTTATTAATTTAAACATAGGATTATTTTATGAAGCAGATTGCAGTTTTGTTTTTCTGATTCCACTACGTTTGATTTTTTTTCTTTTCGCGATAAATTTCGCACTCAATAAATTAATTCTTTTTATTCATAAATTTTATCATTAGGTTTTTTTTTTTGAATTCCGTTGATCTTGCCTTGTTCCGGGTTTTAATATTTATGCTAGTGCCTTTTTTAACTATCGTTTCGGTTCGATAATTTTCAAGTGTTTTTATTTAGATTAATAAGTTTTCCTTTTATTTTATCGTTTCCCCCCGTATAATTAGGTATGAAATATATTGCGTTATTTAATCATTGGTTTTGTTTATATTATTTAATTTAGGAATTGTAATTATTTTTAAAAAATAAATATGAGAATTTTGTATTTTTTAAACTTGATTTTCTTGTCTAAACTTGCAAATTTTTTTATTCTTTTAAATGTTATATTTCTACCATTTTTTTTTTCTTTTTAAAGTTAGGAGTACCTTTCTTTTTTCTCTTACTTTATGCAATACACTTTTTCCTTGTACTTCAGGTTCGATAAAACATCGATTAACGACACTTTTTGGTCGATTCAGAAAACCGGGAAATTCAGATATCCGGGATAGCGATGGTCCCGAGCAACCCGGATAATTGGTTCTCTACTGTATTTGCTTAGTTATCAATTTTTACAAAGGAATTGCAATTACATTATCTCATTAGAGTTCTTGATATAGACTAAGTTTTCTGATTTGATTAGATATATGTGTTTTTGTGTGCATAAGTATTTTGAAATTATAAAAAAGTTTGGAAATTATGAATTATTATCTAGGACAAATCATATTTTAAAATTTTTAAATGTATAATTGTAAGAGTTTTAAATGTTAAATTAGGAAAATCTTAAAACTGCAAACTCTTCATCAATTGTATCCAAAATTGTTTTAAATAATTTTTCAAATTAACTATTTTGAAAAACATTTTTTAAACAAAAATGTTGTTAGTAGTTTGTAATATTTAAAGAATTTAAGTAATATTTTAGTCACAAATATCTATGATAAGATTGAAACTTGGCGAGCAGACGCTAATTCTAAAGTTAGTTAAAAATTCTTTCCCAGCCAATGGGTGAAAAAACGTATATGAATTGTTTCATTGACTGAAGAAAAATATCTTACACCTGACCTGCAGAAAAAAAAATTTTCTTCGACAAGCAACCCTTTTTACTTCAGTAATGATCTAATGTTACAGTTGAATTAAAATCCGGCTGCTCTGGAATAGCAGTTAAATGGGTTTGATTTCAGATTAAAATATAGATGTTTTTATTCTTAATATTTTGTGGTAAACAAAATTAATTATCTTGCTTGTGTGAAATAAAATCCTATAAACAAAATACTCCTCCAACCAGTTTTTTCCCCTTTTTTCTAAAAAAAGGGAATACATACAGGGAATATATACAGGGAATTTAAAAATCACCTAAAATAACAGGGAAAATGCAGGGAATTTTGATTTTTTCTTAACAAACTGGGAAAATACAGGGAATTTTGTTTCTTATTTTTGTCTTTTAAAAAATGGTGGCCACTTAAAGTGTAATCTATGTGATATTCAACCATGATATTTCAGCTATACTAAACTATTTCATTTACTATAGCATTATTTAAGTATATTCAGCTGTTTTTCCAGCAATTAAAACTAATAAATATTGTTCGCCCAATATAGCTCACACAAGAGCACAGTAATTATTGTTTCCTCTTAATATATAGTGCATAATATGTACAGGGAAAACACAGGAAATTTTTTTTTCCAGATTTGAGTGGCAACCCTGTTATCAAAGATTGTGTTTTAATTTATATTTCAGAACTTTCTAAGGGATAAGCAGAAATATTTTTTGCTTAATGCCTTAGAACAGAAATAGTTTTTGCTTTTAATCAAGAACCTTTCTCAGTAGTGTCATTACATAGTTTGATAGAAGAAAAGCAGGGAAATACTGTAGAAAAATTACAACCAGTGGATAAGTTATTTGACATGATGTTGAAGCTGTCCACACTTCCATATTAAATTAAGAAACAGACTTGGTAAATAAAATGCTGAAAAACTTTTATTTTGTTATAGAATGTTAAGATTTATTTCATTAGATATGTTATTGTTTTGACATTTGTTTAATTAAATTAGAAAAAATATATTTTACTTATTTCTCTTTGTATTTATTCTTTTAAGAAGAAATTTCTCAAGTTTTGAACTTAGCAAAACACTCTTAATTACTTGTTCAAGAGAAATAAAATTATGATAAAATATTTTAAGTTTGTAGTTTTTCAACATCAGGATAATAATGAAGATAATTAGCATATATATATATATATATATACAGTGGTGGCCAAAAGTGTGGACACTTTTTGAAAATTTCATGTTTTTCAACTTTGTGTGCTTGTAGAATATATTAATTTTCACAAATACAAACTTTTATATATCAAATTGAAGTTAATTTTAATGTAGAATTTAATAATAAATACAGTATTACAATATCTGTATTACAAAAAAAGTTATGCAATTAATAGTAAGATCTATCTTAGATTTGCATTTTTTTAAAGTGAGACTTACACAATCAATACTTAGTAGGATAACCCTTAATTTTTAAGACAGCTTCACAGCGTCTTTTCATCGAGTGAACGAGTGTTTGGAGTTCATCTTTCGTAATCACATGGTGCCAAGAATCGATTATAGTTTCACTTAGTTGTCTTTTATTGGATGGACGTTTTTTTGTACAAGAATTTTCAAACGTCGCCACAAATTTTCAATTGGATTGAGATCAGGGCTGTTTCCTGGCCATGGTAATATATCTATGCCCTTATTTTGAAAGCATGCTTTGCACACTTTTGCTGTGTGACATGGAGCTGAATCCTGCTGAAAAATAAATGGTTCGTTGTTGGGGAAGAAATCCCTGCTGGAAGGTATCAATTTTGGTTTCAGGACAGTTTCGATGTATTTTTTGGCATTCAGGATGCCAAATCAGGGCGAAAAAAATGCACAAGTGCTATTAACGATAGAAAAATTAAATGGCTATGCCTTCAAGATAGAAAAATGTCATCAAATGCCGTTAGATGTGAAATGAATGCAGCTGGTATTGCAGTAAGTTCAAGAACAATAAGAAGAAGCTTATCAGGATTTGGACTACAAGCTAGAATTCCAAGGAAAAAACCATATTTAAATCAAAAGCTACGCGAAAAACAAGTTAAGTCGGCAAAAGAACAGATTAAATGATCAGAAAATCAATGGAAGCAAGTAATCTGGAGTGATGAGAGTAAAATATCGCTCTTTGGAAGTGATGGTAGAAAATACGTGAGACGTAGAGTAGGTGAAGCGCTTCATCCTGATTGCATTGAAGCAACTACTAAAAATCCAACAAATGTCATGATTTGGGCATGTATATCTGCAGATGGTGTGGGCCGAATTCAAGTGATTGATGGCATCCTGAATGCCAAAAAATACATCGAAACTGCCCTGAAACCAAAATTGATACCTTCCATCAGGGATCTCTTCTCCAACAACGCACCATTTATTTTTCAGCAGGATTCAGCTCCATGCCACACAGCAAAAGTATGCAAAGCATGGTTTCAAAATAAAGGCATAGATATATTACCATGGCCAGGAAACAGCCCTGATCTCAATCCAATTGAAAATTTGTGGCGACGTTTGAAAATTCTTGTACGAAAAAAACGTCCATCCAATAAAAGACAACTTATTGAAGCTATAATTGATTCTTGGCACCATGTGATTACGAAAGATGAACTCCAAACACTCGTTCACTCGATGAAAAGACGCTGTGAAGCTGTCTTAAAAATTAAGGGTTATCCTACTAAGTATTGATTGTGTAAGTCTCACTTTAAAAAAATGCAAATCTAAGATAGATCTTACTATTAATTGCATAACTTTTTTTGTAATACAGATATTGTAATACTGTATTTATTATTAAATTCTACATTAAAATTAACTTCAATTTGATATATAAAAGTTTGTATTTGTGAAAATTAATATATTCTACAAGCACACAAAGTTGAAAAACATGAAATTTTCAAAAAGTGTCCGCACTTTTGGCCACCACTGTATATATATATATTAAAATAAAAATTTGATCTCCAAAATTTTTGTTATTATTAAGACATAAAACCAGACCACTAACGACGTATTAATGCAAAAATATTTTTTGATCTAATGTTGGGTTAGTATTTTCATTTATTTATCAGTACATGATAAACATTTTTAAAAAATTATCTAAGTCAAAAGGTTTTAGGTCATTAACTTTAAAAATGATCATGCATCATAATAGCAGAAATAATAAGCATTTTTTCTGAAGATGGGAAAACATCTATTCTTTTTGAGCGATACATTTTTTTTTTGAAAGACTGTAAAAACCATGGGAAATACTGTGCCAACCCTACCTGGTATTCTCACCCTACCACCACCTTTACTGTTTTTATCTCTTCTCTTGATTCTTGTTTAAGTTTGTTCCACTTACCCTGTTGGCTAAATCGCTTTTTTTCCCTTGCTGCAACTTGTTTGCAATTTTGTTTCTGTACCTGCTTATTTTTCTTCTTTCGTTTTGTGTTTAGACATTAAGAAGGGTTCTCGATTATAGGACAAAACTATAGTAATCTGTTTTTTTAATTTTATTTGTGCTTTATTCACATTGTCCGGATTTATTTTCATATAATAATTTATTCGCTCTTTATTTTTGTTATGCAAATATTATATTATTGTAAAATACATTGCATGTTTCTTTTGTCATTGTTTTTCTGTAATTTTATGTTATAACACAATAATGGCAGTTTTATTTAGTATTTTTCTTTTATTTTAATTATTGCTTTGCAGATTGTCGAATTAGCATCATTAAATTCTAGAGGAAGTCCTGCAGAAAAGCTTAATTGCTTATTGTCTACTCTTGTAAGTTATTTTATTTTTATTCTGATCATTTTTAAGTGCTTTTAGATCTTACTACTTGATTTTGTATTCTTTGTAGGGAATTGGCTAGAATGAATGTACGTAATTTTGTTTTTCATGCCTCAAAATAAAATAGTCTCAAAAAGAATTAATGTTTTATGTATGCAGAAACTCTTAACCTTATAAGACTTCTGTGAATTATTTTTTTCAGTGATAAGTGACTAAAGCTGATTTTTAGAAACAGAATTTTTTAAAAAAATTACTAGAGATTTTATCCTTTTTAAGACTAGAAAAAATATTTTCTGAAACTACAGAGAATTCATAGTAGTTGGAATCTCTGTTTATGTATTTGGCGCTGTTACAGAAACTAGCATATATAATGTTGTACCAAAAAGATCTACATAATTCTTTGGTTGTTAGGAATTGAAAATTTTTAACCCAAGAGAAGTTTAAAATTTTTAATAAAAGAGAAGTTTAAAAGCAGTTAGCGTCTCATTCAGTTATTTACTGTAATTTCTCCACAAATATTTCATTTAAATGTTATGTACATTCTCTTTATTCAATGAAAAGTTTCAAAAATTGTTTGATTATATTAAAATATGCATATTGAAATCAAAAAGAAAAATGAAGTTAGAGCAAACAATTTCTTAGTTCATTTCTTTGAAATTTGAAAACACAAAGCTATGGTCTTCAGAATTAGGTAGAAGTTGCAGAACATTTCTAGATTTTGGTGATTTTAATCTTCATTTCATGCTAACTACACACTGATGAGAATAAATCTGGTGTAGTGAACCCTACTCTAAGTCAAAAACTTAGGACGTGCTTCAGATTTCAGGAATCAAGAAACTTAGCTTGAGTCTTTGAGCCTCATGGTCAACATACAAGTCCATTACATTTAAACAGGAAACTTAAGGTAGAGCTGAATCGTTAAAAAACTTTATGTTAACCCTTTCCTGTTGTAAATCTTGGTAGTTGGCTATTTTTTTTGTATTCTGTTTAAAGAGGGTCTTTCAGAATTCAACTGGGTTATTGATACCTAAATCAAAAGAATATAAATCATGTTGGAAAGTTTCTGTGTTGAAGGTTTTGTTTATATAGCGTTTGATGTTTTTTTCATGTTTTTTAATTTAAATTTTGAAAAGGTGATGGATGATATAGATTTTGAATTTTTTTCTGTTTTCTGAGTTTTTCAAGATTTAAAATTTTTTTTTGGTGTCTTTAGAATGTGATTAGCTTGTATATACTCACTGATTCTCAAGTGTTTACACACTTAAAAATCATGTTTGTGTACTTAGTTTATTAATTGTATTTTCCATTGTGCTTTTAGTTGGATATTTGCTTTTATTCTTGTGTATGTCCACCTACATCAGTGTTTCCCAAACTTATGATTTTTGTGTACCCTTTCTAAATTTTTAGTAACGCAGTGTACCACTAATAAAAAAATTTATGTATTTTTTACTGTAAAAAATTGCACAAAAGTTAAAAATCACAACTGGCTGTTGACACCACTAATTATTAACTGTTAACTCTGCAAAAAATAGCCAATAGAAACCCCGGCTAAACTGTTCCTGTACTCCTGAGGGTATGCGTACCACACTTTGGGAGACACTGATCTACATGTTTAAACAGAGTGGGAGCTTGCTAATTTATTTTTACTTGTTTATTTAGATAGGAGTTATCAAAATATTTCGGTAAAATTTTAGTTTACATGAAAGGAAGTGTTGTGTAATTTATTGGCAAAAACAATTATCATTTTAAACATTAAATTTTGGACATAGGTGACATATATGTAGGGGTGGTTTATTTTATGATTGTTGTTTTCTTCCTTCTCCCCACAGTTGAAAATTCTTTCTTTTTTTTTAATTGATACTCCAAAATTTCAGTATCACCCATCCTTTTTCTTTCTTTTGCTGCAATCTTTTTGTATATTTTAAGATACTTTAACGAATCAAAGAGGAAATGGTATCTTAGAAATGCCTAAAAAATCTATCTCGAAGGTTAAGTTTATTCACTTTTTCAGTTGAAAGTCAACATTATTGTTTTTGCACTAGAAAATATATGATTTGAAGCTAAGTAACACTGTAATGCTTTTCTTGATAAAAAGTCGATGATTGAAAGTATGTTTGACACTTTTGGGAAACCTACATTTTCTGTTTTTTTATTTTCTTCGACTCGTGAGAGGTCATTAAAAAAAGTATTTTTTGTTTATTTTTAATGTGGTTATTTTGGATTGAGAATTGGAGATGTTATGCAGTTTCAATTATTCTGTATCTTAAAATGTTGCGCAAATTGAAATTTTCTATTTATTCCTTAATTTTTTAAAAAAATTACTTTGTTTTTATGCAACTTAATCATTTGATTTATTTATTCATCATTAGAAGCTTTTAAATCTGTAATAAGAGAGGTATTGCATCTAGGATTATTCTGTATGGTAAAATTTTACACAAAATTGGATTTATTCATTATTAATTTAAAATTTTTTAAGGGATTTTTATCTGTTTTTTTCATTTGATTTATTTATAATTCGGATATTAATGAATAATTAATTGTTTATAAGATATGTATTGTGTTCCACGCAGATATGCAATTGTTCTGTGTGGAACTATTTTGCACAACACAGAGATATTGTCATTTATTATTGTCAAATTTATTTATTATTACTTCTTTAAAATTCATTTTAATTATTTTTAGCTGTTTAATCATTTGATATACATGGAATTCCTTATTTTAAATAAAATTACAAGTAAGATTTGAGATACTAAGAGATGAACTTAATGTACTCACAATTGTACTGTATGGTATGATTTTGCATAAAGTAAGGTTGTTCTTAATTATTGGTTGTATTTTAAAAACTTATTTAAATTATTTTTAACTGTTTAATATTTGATTTCTTTTAAATTTGGAAATTTTAAATTAATATTAAAGATGATTGCCATTGCTCTATTGGTTATATTTAATAATTATTTCTATGATTTCTGTTGATTATTTGTAAGGTATGCATTAAATTTGTGGTTGTTCAACATAGTAAAATTTTGTTTGTTATATGGGATGAAACACTTTCCTTATATTTAAACTTCAGGAGAATGACATATATCTCATAGAGATTTATCTTCGTAAAATTGTGGTAATGAGAACCGTCCAGAACATTAATGTGTTATCATGTAAAATTTAAATTTTTCTTCTCTTGAAATGACATAGTGCTGAAAAAAGCAGCTATTTGCTATATTATATTTTAAATATCGTAAAATGAATTAGTTATTTTCAATTTTCTTCAGATTTCCATGACTGTTATTGTCTGATGTTTTTCTGATAGTAGCAATGTTTTTGTGTGAAAGTACCGCTAAAAGTAAAAGTGAAGAATGTATCTACAGTGGAAAGTTGCTTATCTGGGATCGGTGGGACTTCCGGAAGTCCGGACAATAGATTTTTTCTTATAATAGACCCTTAAGGTAAACCAAGCTTAAAACGATATAAGGAACTATCTGAATCTGAGAAGCAAAAAATAAACAAACGTTATTTTTCAGGCAATAATGTTTTAGTATTAGAATGATATCTAATCAATCAAAAACAAAATATTAGAAAAAAATAATTAATGCTTAAAATATAGAAAATGAAAAAAATTTGACAGTTATGAAAATATTAATTGCTCTCTCCGCCATTTTGAACTAGAACGATTCGAGCAAGAAGCGGGAATTCCCATTATTCATGGAGGTGGGTAGGTGGAGGATAGAAATTCATTTCCTCCTTATTTGTATAGATAAAATATATGCTTAAAGAGGAGATCGTTCAAGTTGACGGCAGGAAAGTGACAAATTCTTATTTTCTCTCCCATCATTGGCTATCAATCAAGGGTAAAGGTGCGACATGCTGATAGGGTTCTCTTTATTTTTTCTTGTCTCTTTATTTTCAGTGGTTGTTAAAACAACGTTAAGGAGGAACATATTAATTTTGCCTGGTTTAAGAGGAGGAGGATTGTTATCGCTTACATGTCTGGGAAGAACAATGTTTCTCAAGGATGTGTATCCTTTTAGACCTATTCAAATTTTCCATTTTGACTCTCCCTCCACATTATCGTTTGCTGCGTTTACCCTTTTCCACAGTAAAAGATTCCAGGAAAAGTCTCTTTTAATAGCCAGCTGCATAGGAAAGAAGGGGGGAGTGGACTCAGTTTGCACTCTTTTGAAAACAAATCTCCCTCTTTTTCTGCATTCCAGAGGAAAAGCGTCACTTACGGTCACTCGATGGTCTTGGGAGGTCTTCTCTTCCCCTTTCTGGTGATTAATGGATTAAATTCATAAATCACTAGAAGCTAGAAAAGGAAAAAATCTGTCAAAAGGCCTCTTTTTTTTCTTTTTAAGAGAGGGGAAGATGAAGAGATGTTTGATTATTTTGATTGTTAAAAAGTGTCTTTGAAATCAAAAAGAGACTTTACACTGTATTAGTATCAACATGATTTTTGAATTACATGGATTCTATATAAAATATTTATTTTACACTCTCTGGGTATTTGTAGTAAATTTAACTAAAATGAGAAATAGTAAGGTAGAGATATTAATATTGAGTTTGATATTATATATCCTATATGTAGTTATTTCAGAGAATTATAGCTATACTAGGTAAGATAGAGAACTTTTATCAAACTTTACAACTTAGCTTTTTTGATTTTTCCCCTTTTAATTGTTCATCTTTATTTGTTTGTACTTTGCTTTAGTTTCTATTGTCTACCTTTTCTGTGGTGCAAAAATGTGTTCATTTCTTGTCTGCTGCATTATAAATAATAATAATAAAATATGCTTTTTGTCATGTTTGCTTAAAAATTATTTCTATTTCAGGAAGTCTTGAATCAAGATGTTGAAAATTTTTTACTGGAAACATGTTATCTTGTTAGAAACAGGGGTATTTTCTTCCTTTTATCATTACATTTAAATCCTTCTTTTTCATGCTATAAATGCCAGACAAGTAAAGAAATGTTTTAGTTTACGATTTTTAATAATTTTAGTTTATTAAGTTTTATCTAGATAATGGTTAGTATATATATATAAAAATAAACAAATAAAAATAAAATGCTTTATTTTAACGTTATAAAAACATCTTATTTGTTTTGGTAAATTGAATTTTTTTCAAAACTTTTGCAGATTCTGGTCAGAATAGAAAAACTTAAACTAGCTAATTAAACTTATATTTTAAGTTGAACCATAAATTGAAATTTGTTCAAGATTCTTAAAATTCTTTTTGTAAACATTTTTTTTAGATTGAATCAATTGTAAACATCAATTCCTTTTGTTTTTTGAAGCAGCTCCATGCAGATTGTATTGCACTATCAAATTTTAATCCTCTTGGAGCATTTATAATTAAACCTTCCTTCCATAGTAAAATAAAAACATTAAGTATCTGCGCACACAATCCAAAAGTATCTGTAAGCTCATAATATTTTTGATAATAGAATAATTTTATTAAATATACAAAATCAGTTAACTATTTAATATTTTTATATATTCTTGACAAAAAATATATATACATCCACATTAATATTAATAGTTATACATAGAACTACATTCATATAAAGTAATTATCATATTAAGTATTATTAGTAATTTTGCTCCAAACAAAATTACATTAAAGATTTCCTACTGTCACAGTAATTGTCTTTTTCCATTGTAAAGCGATAGTTGAGTTGAGCGGTAAAAAATCAGCTGGATTTAGCCTCTACTGCTAACAATGGGATCGCTGAGCTTAGGACTAAAGTGGCAGTTATATCTTTTCTCTTTAAGAGCAGCATGCATTCAACTAAACACTAGCTTTCTTCTACCTTGCATAAATCATGATTACGCTATCTGCTTCAGATTCCCTCCCCCCACTGCAAACTTTTTGTGCATGCGGATACTTTTTTTTGTATTACAATAAATATTAAAAAAGTATCTTGGAGAATCACCACCAATGTACAACGTGCACACGTGAGTCTATATTAACTAACTATGCTTCCTTCCTCACTTAGCTGAGAGAACAATTTATTTTATTCCAATATATTTTTGTAGCAGGCTCTTTTATGGAATTTGTGATGATTACAAAAGCATTTTGTAATCAACATAATGCATCTAAGAATTTGTTATAAATTAAAATGCTTTCTTAATAATTCTTGTACTTTCAACCAAAAAATGCTTTACAAGGTACTACAGTACAGAACCCGTTATCCGGAAAACCGAAAAACCGGAACGAAATTCGAGAAATTTTCCCACCATTTTTTAAAAAAAAAAATTTTTTTTTCCTCGTAAGATTTTAGGATTTTTCGTTCTTTTCTGAAAGATGTTTACCTTACCATCATTTTAGAAATAATCATTAGTGTATTACCTCATCGTTTTTCTTTTTTTTAAGATTATTTCAAAAAAAATTTTTTTTAGTTGGGTTTAACAATTAAAAAAACTGCTTTTTGTAGCGATTCAGAAAACCGGAAAAATCAGTTATCCGGAATAGCGATGGTCCCGATCGTTCCGGATAATCGGCTCCCTACTGTAGTTGGATTTAGTTATTAAATTTTAAATTTACTCATCAAAACTACAATTTTTTTTCTTGTTATGATTTCAGTCCAATTGCTAAATTAGCATTTAATCAAACATTATTTTTCTCTCTATACCATTTCTGTAATAACACATCTAAAAACATAGGTTTTTCACATGCAACCTGCTACATTATTAAACACTGCAGATATTTCATGCTTGCAAACTTGTTCTGATTTATCGGAACATTATTTTTTTTTTTTTGAATAATTAGTGTGGTAATAAATTTTATGATTTAACATTCAATTATTTATTTGATAAATTTAATTTAGAATAATTTTGCTCATCTCTGCATTAGGACTGGGAGATATAAGAAATTTTATATTGTGATGCATCGTCAGTTTTGCATCGCAATATAGCGATGTATCGCAATATAGTATTTTTGAATTTCATTTACTTGTAAGGCACAAGAAGTAGGATTTCTATCAAAACTTCATACTCAGATTGATTTAAATCAATTTATGAATTTGAAGATAGATATGTTTTGCTAAAGAAAGATATTAATGTTATATTTTCTAAAAATGATCGTTCAAATAACAAAAGATTTCTAAGCTTAAAAATAAATAATAAAAAAATAAATACAATTGAAATTTATCAATATAATATTTACCTAACAATATAGAAAGAAAATTTAAAAAATAAGTTTGTTAAAAATTATTTGCAGGCTTAAAACAAAGTGCTAAATAAATTTTTAAAAAAAAAAAACGCTTTTCAAACAACCCTATTTTTTATCATTATTATTTCACATAAATAATTAAGTTAAATTTAATAATTACCGAATTCTGAAGAAAAAACAAAGTAAGGGTTAATTTCTTGAAAATAAAAACAAAAGAATTACGGTATTCGATAATATATTTAACTGACAATATTGAAAGAAAATTAAAAAACAAGATTATACTCTTTAATAAAACAAAGTGCTAAATGATTAAAAAAGAAGTCGCAAACCTTACTAATTTTTTTGAATAAACAAAGTTGATTGAATTATGGCCAAATCCAAAAGAGGAAAAACAAGTTTTGTTATAATTTTATTTATAAAAACAAAAACAACTAAAGATTTATAAATTTAAGGGTACAGGGGACCAGGTACTAGAGTACAGGTAATAAAAAACCATTAAATTATTAGAAGTTTTATCCAAAAAGTTTTTAATGAATTAAAATAAAGTAAAAAATAGCCTAACAAGTGTAATTACTTTGTAATTTAATTCTTTATGGGCATCTTAAATTAGATTTCCGTTTGTAATAAATTCAATAATGTAAAAAATTACTTAAACATATAATATAAAAAAAGTTTTGTTTTTAAAAAAATAATTTACCTAATTTATTAAGAAACACTTCTTTATATATTCTTTTCAATAATAGATTTAGAACAAAGTAGCGACTGCAATCACAAAGTCAGTCCCACTGAAAATTATCCACAAGAAACGATATCAAGAAAAAAGAAAAAGAAGAGGCGTGAAAACGAACATGCGAGATTACGATATATGTTCTCAAAACTGATTCTGATTCTACCGCTCATCAATCAAGGCCGTTTCAACATAACGAAACAAACATCATCTTCCACAGCGCGAATTGGCATCGAAATGTAAGAGAAGATCCTTGCGTGTCTTGTATCGTTCCTCTTCTTTACTCGACGGCTTAAATCAGATTTCTGATGCATTGCCTGGAACAAGAGTGGCTGTATCGGCCTGCCGATATAGGCGTTAAATCGATATGTCACGATATATTGATTTATAGCCCAGTACTACTCTGCATATAAACAACTTAAACTCATGTATAAAATCTATTGTGCAGAGAAGTTTTTAAAAGCCGGCAAAATGAAACAAATTTAGATTTCTTTAAATTGTTATTTGCCTACCACTTTAAATATTTTGGAAAGTTATATTTATCTGTATCAAGCTCCAACTCATCCACTTTCTTCAAACATTAAAGTCTGGAATATATTCTATTAATTTCATAGCTTTATTTTAATATTGCTAACTTCAATTTTACTAATACTATTTTCGTAGATAAGTATTTTCAGTTACTTCTTACTACAAGAACAAATTTTTTTTTATTATAAAGCTCAGGTCAGTAATTTAGTGTAAAAAAATTTTGCACTCTGTTCTGTTAAAATAGATTATATAAATATGAAAAAAGGTTTAATTATATTATATTGTAATTTAATTGAGTGATTTTATGGAGAACTTCATTATGTAAACCATCAATCCTTGTTATGAAGTAAATATGATCCCAAATTAATAAAATAAATTAAAAGTGGTAGTAAGATTTTCTTTCCTCTTAACAATATTCCTTCATAAACAATAGGAAAAAGTATGGCACATAGTTGCCAATTTGTGCACTCTCATGGGAGATATATTTCTATGGTAATGTAACTAAATTTTGCCAATACTGCCAACATTTGTTTATTGCTATCATTTATAAACATAAATACATAATTATCAGATTACTTATTTGTTTTACTAATTTATATATCCTGATGGTTAAACACATACATAACACATATGCAAAGAACCAAAAAATGAAATTTTTTTTTGTTGAAATGAATAATAGAAATAGTGATAATTAGTTGCTACATAGAAAAAAATAGCTTTGCTTTGTTAGCATTCAAAATGTATGCATTGTTTTTTTCAATATTTAATTCAAAACATTAAAACAGCTGATTATGAATTATCCAGAATTTTATAGGAAAATTTTCAAATGTTTCGCCCTTTAACAATTTAACCTAATCTAGGTTTGTAAAACAGAAACCTTTAAAATTAAAAAGCAGTGCCACTATTGTAGGAAAGAACCAATTTAATGAATCTGTTGCTGAATTGCTAATGAAGACAATTGGAAGTAAACAGTCTAAGCATAAAACGAGAAACGGAAAAATATCGAATTAAAAACAGAGGACTATCTGCCAGTTTTAGAAAACAGTTTTTAATTTATAAGTTAACTCGTATGACATAATATGAAGTATAGCAATTTGGCTAGTGGGGTATCATATCAATAACATTCTATAATTTATTTTATAAGTTAGTTTTTAAACGCTTTTTTATTAGTCAGATGGAATGAAAATCTGGATTTAGGTTTAAAAAAAAACCTGAAAATTCTTAATATATAAAAATGATTATACCTTACAATCCAAAAAAATAATTTCATCATAAAAAATTAATTAATAAAAATTAATAACAATTTTTATATTTGCTTAAATTCAAAATTTATTACATATTTATCTTTGTGTTGAGGACTTATAAACTTTATGTGAAAGTATTACTGCAGTTTAACCAATCATTTAAAAGATATGAAGAGAAACATGGAATATTAACAGTGCCGGGTTACCCATTAGGCCAGAATAGGCCATGGCCTGGGGCCCCCTTAAAATGGATTTTTTGAAAATGAATTTACAAAAAACAATGATTTTTTTTTTTAAAAAAAATCAATTTCAAATATATATTAAAATTTTTTCAAAATGTTATGATTATTTTGTAGTTCTAATTTAACAAAATAAAGTAAAATTTAATTTATTATTATTATTTTTATGTTAAATATGCTTTCTTAAATGAAAAGATATATAAATACTATTATATTTAAATAAATAAAAAATATATGAGAGTAACAACTCTATCGAAGGGCCCCAAAAATTTGCATGGCCTAGGGCCCCGCGTACGCTTAATCCGGCCCTGAATATTAAAATAGCATTCATGTAAAACATTTTTGAACTGTTATTGTGGTTAAGCTTAAGGGGTTCTATGAAAGCCTGCATTTCAAAACTTCCTATTTTGTTTGTGATAAATCTGAATTTGGGGGGAAAAAAGGTATGTTTCTTTAGAAAAAGTGAGTTTTTTAATCGAAAAAAACATATTTCGTTGCGGTTACAGCTAACTGTTATACATTTTATAAGATTTGATTTCTTTGAGATATTACCAAAGCACTTTATAAAATGAAAATCTGACCAACTGTTTAAGTTATAAGGGTGATCTTTTTATTTTATTATTTTTTTTTTCTGATTGTACATCATAATAGAATCTTCTAAATGTTATTGCTATCTGTGTTCTAACTGTACTGTTATACTAAGTCTTGAGCTGCTTTTTTTTCATCAAATTAGATTGGCATAAAACTCTAATTGATGGAAGTTCTTTATCATTAAGTATAAATATATTTTTAATTCATATGTTACCATTAAAGTGTCAATGTTGAAGATCAGATATGTCTTAGAATGCATAGTTATCCCATATAATAACTGATCAATTCAGTTGAAGTGTATAAAACATTCATAATTTTTCAATTGTTTGTGATTTTATTACAAATAGATCTTTTACTTACGTATCCTGTTTTGTTTTGATGTATCTCGAATTTCTGGTGCATTAAGTTAAATGTAATAATTTAAATTATGTTAAATAAATTATTAATATGATGCAACTCATTTTATGAATATTATATATTTCAGATGTACCATGTTTAACATCAGATGACTTAATTCCACTCTTAGCTTTTGTAATTGTCCAATCTCGTCCTCAGTATTTCATCAGTAATCTTCAATATGTTCAAAATTTTTGCTGGGAGAATTCTCCAGCTGACAAGCTCAGGTAATATAATTGTTTTTTTTTTCTTTTCATTTTATTTATATTCTAGACTTCTATTTATACTAATATAAATATTTAAATTTCTGTCTGAACATACTATGGTTTTTTTTTTTTTTAAGCAAAAGTGGTTAAAAGCAAAAATAATTTTTTACTTGATATAAAAAATTAAGTACTACCAGTTTTATCATGTAGGTGTTTCCCATGTATGGACCACTTTTTGTACATTAATGCGTTCAGATCCAGTTTAATTCAATTTTTTGCGAACATTGTGGAAAACACTATTTTTTTATTTATATATACATTAACCAAACCTTAGCCTGTATAAAACTGCANTAAGTACTACCAGTTTTATCATGTAGGTGTTTCCCATGTATGGACCACTTTTTGTACATTAATGCGTTCAGTGGAAATGGAATAACTATTTTTTTATTTATATATACATTAACCAAACCTTAGCCTGTATAAAACTGCAATTGAAATTTCTTTAAAGATTATATTTTTACAATTTGAGAAATGTATGCCAAAAAGTGAAAGTATACTGGGTAATTCAAAATGTGATTAAAAACGGCTCTAACTATTTAATGAAAAAGAATTTATCAATAAAATTAGAAGGTATTTCAAAATTTTGTATGCATGCGTCACAGATTTTCTATGTGACTTCCCTTGGTCACACGGACAACATCTAGGCCTTTTCACGCCATACATCCTGAAGCATTTGTGCAGTCACTGACACAAGCGTATTAATTGTGCAATTGCTGTATGAGTTTAATTTTGTACGGTTTCAGTTGCAACCTCTGTCTGAGAACACACCATACTAATAATCTTAGTTGCATTTGTAGCTGCCTTCTTACGTCATTTTTTGTGGGCTTCTGCCTTGAGATAACAGAATGACAATTGTTAAATTCTTGCACGCAGAATGCTTTCTGCATGGGACTCGCCATTTTCACTAATGAACTCGCGGATGCACAGAATTCCGATTACAAGGATGAGATTTTTCCGCATTTTAGCAGATTTCCACTTTTGTCTCTCGAATTTCAGCCTTTTTATCAGAAACTCCGACTCTTGAAAAATTTCCTTTTTTATAAATATTCTGCTTTTTCTGAAAATTGTGTCGTTGAAATAGAAAAATTATTTCTGAATTTAAAAGACGAGCAGAAAATCCAAACTATGTAACTACCAACTCTTCCTCATTTTTACTTATTTTAGTTATTTTCTCTGATTTTACGCACAGAAAATAAGATTTCCCATATTTTCCCCCGCCTGCCAGCTAGCTCGTACTTTCGTAATTCTGTTTGCAAAATTGTCAAAAGCAAACAAATTAATAAAAACGTTTTTAAAACCACAATATTATTACCAAACATAGATTTTTGTATTTACCTGATTTAAAAGTTGTGCATTGCGATTCTTATTCACGCAATTTAAAAATTATGCATCATAACTCGTATTTACGGGATCTAAAAATTACGCATCATGATTTATTGTATTTTCGTATTTTTAAAATCCAATGTCGAGTTTCATATTCACAAGATTTAAAAGCCACATATAAAGATTCATATTCTGTCAATTTAAAATCTTATTCACACGATTTTAGAATCATGCATGTGATTCATATTCATACCATTTTAAAATTAATCATCGAGATTTATAATCACATGGTTTAAAATCGCGCTTTTTTTGTCAAATGTTTAGATATTATAGCTTCTACATATTATATATACAGTAGAGTCCCGATTATCCGAGCCCCGGTTATCCGAGTTTCCGCTTTAACTGAGCTATAAAATATTTCAAGGATTTTTTTTTCTAGTTTATTTTTTAAAAAAAACCGCTGAAAAATAAATCTGAATTTTATCTTCCAAACACTCAGAAAAACAAAACTCAGCTATTGGTCTGATGAAATTATCGTTAATATTGTCAATAATGATAATGAATCTAGCGAAGATGATGAAGACAGTGATTATTAAAATCAACATATAAAAATCTCTCGTACAGATGGACTAAAAGCTATCGAATGTACTATTGAATATATAGAACAACAAAAAGAGGCGATACCAGCCTTCCTGTTATCCCTAAAAAAGGCGAAACATTACTACAGAAAAGCGCCGAAGTTATGTAGAACGAAAAACGATTAAGGACTTTTTTTAAGTAAAAACTATTTAATTCTCGTAAAGTATGCTTTTTAAATGCTTTTAAGTAAGCTTTTTAATTATAATATGAATTGTATGTGGTATACTCGTATACATTTTGTGTTTCTTAAATATATTACATTTATACCTTCTCTTTTTCTTTCCGTTTTTATACTCTTCCGAGATTTAACCGACTTTTTCAGTTATTCGAGTTTGTTGTGGTCCCCATTAACTCAGATAATCGGGACTCTACTGTATATATATATATATTCATTCTAGGATTTCCTTTTTTTACTTTCTGACTACTATCACCCCTGCGATTAACTGCGCCTTATGTAAAGAAATCTTGAAGTTCCACCTACATTTTATGTTAATCTTCTCGATAAATTATTTTTCATTAAATAGTTTTAGCTATTTGTAATCGCTATATTCATTTTTAATTACCCTGTATTTAGAGAAGTTTTCCACAAAGTTTATTTAGCATTTTAAAATTTTTGTGTGTAAGTAAAGTAAAGAAGGATGCATTGTAAAACTCTTTTACATTATTTATTATTGTTGTAACAAATAAAATCGTATAAATTTTTGAATTAATATGTTATAAAATATGTTGTTAATGCTGTTGCAAAGGTTTCATACTTATGCATGTATTAATTAAGAAACTGCATGAGTTGTACCATATGGGCTATTAGCTATTCCAGAGAGTTATGCTAATTATGCACCAGTTGGTATCATGGAAACTGTAAACTAAATTCATATTCTGTAACTAAACCAAATTTGTATTTATTAGTAATTTTGTTCATTAAAAAGAAATGAATCATTAAAATAGAGCATAACATTAGGCATCAGACAGAGGTGTGCCAACTGGTGGCAGTTGTCCCCTCTGAAATTGAAGTGAGAGAGCGAATAATATGTTTCACCCCTCCTGAAATTTAAATATTCAGGAGAATAAAGTACAGTAAATTTCAATTAAAAAACAGTAAAAAAGTAAAATTTTAGTGAAAATTTTTTTTTCAACTTTGAAGCTATTTTTAATATAGAAAACTTTATATTTTTCTGAAATTCGAGTGAGGGGCGAATAATATGCTTTACCCTCGGCCAAGATTTAGTCATTCGCAAAAGTTATTAGTAAACAAGCTAAATTGGTAATTTTAGAAAAAAAGACTATTTTAAATTGATTTACTAGATTGTGTGTTCTTTTCTACTTTGAAGCTACTTTTCAAGTTGAAAATTTTATTTTACTCTAAAATAAAAGTAAGGGGGCGAAAAATGTCCTTCTGAAATTTAGACATTCACTGAAAAAATCAAGTTAAATTAGTAAAATTGGGAATGAAAAATAGAAATTTTTTTTCTTGAATTTTCAAGCAATTTTTCAAGTCGAAAACTTTATTTTTCTCTGAAATTAAAGTAAGGAAGCAAACAATGTGATCGCCCTTTCTAAAATTTTGGCATTCATGAAAATAAAGTCAAATTAAATTGGTAAGTTTTTTAACTTTAAAGTTGTTTTTGAAATTGAAAACCATATCTTCTTCTGAAATTTAATTAAAGGGGTGAATAATGTACTTGACCCTTTCTGAAATTCAGACATTCAGGAAAATAAAGTTAACTGAAATTGATAATTTTTGAAATTTTTTTTTTCAATTTTGAAATTATTTTGAAAAAGAGGACTATATTTTCTTTTGAAATTTAATTGAAGGGCGAATATAGCGTTTCCCCCTGTCGGAAATTTAGACATTCACAAAAATAAAGTCAAGCTTGATTAGCAAACTTAGAAATTGAAGAAAAACTTTTTTTCTAAACTTAGAAGTGACTTTTCAAGTAGAAAACTTTACTTTCCTCTGAAATTCAAGTAAGGAACCAAATATTGTGCTTTGCTCCTTTTGAAATTCATGAAAATAAAGTCAATATAAATTGGTGTTTTTTTTATAAGAGAAAAACTTTTTTTTTTTTGAAATTGAAAACCTTATTTTCTTCTGAAATTTAATTGAGAAGGCAAATAATGTGCTTCGCTCCTTCTGAAATTTAGACATTCAGGAAAATAAAGTGAAGTTAAATTGGAAATTTTAGAAAAAACCCTACTTTTTTTCTATTTTGAGTTTATTTTTGAAATCAGAATTTTTCTTTTACTGTGAATTTAGGGGGCAAAAATGTGCTTCACCCCTTCTGAAATTCAGACATTCGACAGCTCATTCAGACATCTTCTTAAACGAGTTGTTAAAAAAGTTTTAAGAGTATTGAAGAAAATTCATATTATATGATTCATTAATCTTTTAAAATAAAATGCTGTATGCTTTTCATATATTAGTTAAACAACACAAGAAATATGTTTATAATAAAAATATTTGTAAATTGTTTAAAATTCTTGAGAATTACTTTTTTTGAAGAGTTAATGAGAGAAAGATTATTTGCAGGGCTGATTGTGCTCTGGAAAAAAATCCGGATTTCCGGATTTTTCGCTAACAATGATCTGGAGTTTCTGGAGATCGAAGGTCCAGACGTTTCAAAAAATCATTGATCACAGAAGTTTCCGGAAGTCAAATTTTCAAGGGTGGAACTTAAAAACACAGTTTATTTTATTTGTTTGTAAGGGAGAGCCAGATACTTTATAAGCTTATATTCAGGATTAATATTCATTTTTTATCAGTAAATAGTTATTATAATCATAAACTCACAAAGGAAAGACATATTTGTAAATTTTAATTACTTCTCCTGGTCATCATAGGTATGTGTAAATGGTATAGGTATGTGTAAAATTTTAAATATATTTTAACTAAACTAAGAAATAATGAGAAAAAGGATAAAAACCTTGTTTAAATTTTTTTCTAATTTTTCATTTTAAACTGTTTTTTTTTTTTTAACTAAAGAAATTTTCCGGAATTTTGACTTGGGCTCACAATCACCCCTGTATTTGTAAATGATGTAAAATGCAGTTGTATATTTGCTGTTTCATTGCAGTTTTGGTCTAGTTACATTCCAAGCAGCCAAAGAATTTTTGATGAGTAATGAATTTGAATTTTTGAAACCACCATCAAGAAAGATGAAGAAAGAAGTATGTTGTTTATAAATATAATAATTAATATGTATTGTTTTTAAGCATATTTTTTTTATTGTAAATGGTAATTTACAGAATGTTGTCAATTTGGAGTTTAACTGAAAATTTAAGAGAATATTTTTGAATAAGTAACAAGAATGCCTTTTTGTGTATCCTAATTTTTTTTAAAATATGATTTTTAATCAGATAATGGAATTTAATTTTTTAAAGTATTTTTAAATATTTTTTTAGTTGTTGACTAACAAGAAGGCTTTCTTTATTCTATGCACTGTTTTATAATGATAAATTTAATTTGGTAAAATATACTAGATTTAAATATACATATGTTACTGTCATCATTTGAATAATTTTTGTGCTGTGTCAGGGTTTCCACTCCACAAGGAGAATATGGAAAATTTGGAAAATACAGAGAATTTAAAAATCACCTAAAATAACTGGGATAATGCTGTGAATTTTGAGTTTTTCCTTACAAACTGGGAAAATACAGGGGATTTTATTTCTTATTTTCGTCTTTTAAAAGGACTATTAAAAACAATATCTATGGGATATTTGAGGATGATATTTCAGCTATATTAAACTATTTTAGTTAGATTAGCAGTATTTCTTTTAAGTTTGTTAAACTGTTCCTTATTTCTTTAAGTTTTTCCAGTGATTAAAACTAGTATAATTAGACTAATATAAGTCTCTCAAGAGCACAGTGATTGTGTGTTTCTTCTTAATATATTGTGTATAATATGTACATTGAAAACACAGGAAAATTTTCTTCAAGATTTGAGTGAAAACCCTGCGTTTATAAATAAAGTATAGGACCCGAAATTCGGCACTCACGGGACCGACAAAATTCCGTATTTCAGAATTTGCCGAATTTCGGATCTCTTCCGGAAATTCCAATACGGCGTCCATATATTACGATAATTCAATTATGCTGTTAATTGCAGAAAAACCAATAAATTTAGCTAAGTTCCGATTGTAGATTATGATGGGGTGAATTTAAAATTGTCCCATCTTAAGAAATTTCATTAATAAAAATAATAATCTATATAATATAATCAAGGAGAAATAATTTAAGATGAAATAATCCAAATCCTCCGAAAAAGAAATTATCCTTTTTTCTTCCACGCGAGATCATTCCTCTCATTTTTTCTTGAAATAGCATTTTGTTTTAACAAAAAACGCTCAGCTCGCAAAAGAAAAAAAAAAGGAAAGAAAGAAAGCTAACAAGGAACTGCAAAAAAAGTTAACAATTAATGCTAAAAAACTAACAATGAATAACTACAAAAAAGAAGCAAACAACTAAGAAGGATAAAAAAAACAAGTCAACAATTAACAAAAAAAAGTAACAGTTAATAACAAATAAAAAGATAAATAAATCTAATAAAAAAAAAGCAAAAGGGATAGAATTCATTTTGTACACCACATGTTAGTTTCAATGTCGACAGGGTGTTGCCAATTTATGGTCAAACAGGAGAGGGAAATGTGGGGACAAACCAGTAAAGCACTTGCACAGCTGTCAAGATTGATTGATCAGTTTCTCCCAACTTGCATTTCTTTATTTTGTTCATTGGAAATGCAGATGTTTTTACTTTTCAATTTCACTTTATTTTAAACTGCTTTAGGAACAGATGTTTTGTTTGACACAGATTTATTTTTTTTTCATGCTTTTTTTCTTTTTAAAAGATAAAATATAGTTACTTACTTAAAGAGAAAAAATTCCAAATAAAAAGAGAATATGACTGTTTTTTTTCTCGTATCAATAAAAATTTCTCTAAAAAAAAAAAAAAAATTAGGCCGGATTAAGTGCCGAATTTCGGGTCCTACCGGATTAGGAGTCCCATACTGTAATTAAAAAAATGGAAAATCTATTTGTAGTTAACCTTATAACTGCAAAGCTAAAATATTTCCTATAATGGATTTAACTAAAATTAATTTGTGTTTAGAGAAAAATCCTGCTGAATTTTTCTCCTAAATCTACAATTAAAAAGATAATTCAGCAATATTAATTATGCCTAAGATTTTAACATCACAATTTTGATTCTTTATGTGAAAACTTCTCTTTATTCATTAAGTTAAAACTGTTTCAGAAACTTAAAATTCCAACTTAAAGCCTTTGTAATGCACTATAAAATTATGATTGTGGCAATAACTATGAATAATTATCTAAATAATTTTATTTTATTTTCATTTTATTTAAGTCAGGAAAAAATTGAGCTTCTTAATTATTTTAGCATTTCGTAATATATCCTTTCATTTTTTTACTAGTTATCCCTTGAAGAACTCATGGAAGTTACTGTTGAAATGCAAAATAATTCAAAACCGTCTGTAGAAACTAAGCCAAATAAACTTCAATCTCCAACTGACCATCTCTTGGAAAATGTGACAAAAATGATAGAGGCATCTACTAGAGATCTTAGAGAATGGACTATTGAAAAAGGTTTGAGTGAAGTTTTTTTTTGCTACTCAGTAGAAAACCGATTTTTTTATTGCAATAATTTATTAACAATTTTTTATGTTTTGAAAAGCTCCTTATTTTCAAAATATGTTCTTATTTTCGTATTTATGTTTGATCATTCAAAAATATTTATTTTTTTAAATCGAAACTTAAACATTTGATTTTATAATGACACAGATATTAATGAACTAAATATGACTTAAATAAATTAAAACTGTTTAACTGAAGTATTCTTTCATGTACTTTTATACACTTCATATAGTGTATAAAAGTACATGAAAGAATCATGACATTTTATTCTGTGTTAATAAATGTTATCATGGATATAAAATGTGGAAATCTGAATTTTTGTAGCTTGAAGCTACCAGATCTTTATAATAATTCAGAGATGCCAACTTACACCACTTTGTGAGAAATTTTTTTCTTGTGGCAGCAAAATTTATGTTTTGTTGTAAGAGTTTTGGTTAAATAAATTTGATTTAAAGTTAGTTTTTTCACCACTATTTATAGGTAATTCAAAAACTCATATAAAACACAATGTTTTTCAGTCGCCTCTCAGTAAGACTTTCAGAATGTGCGCAAAATTATCTAAATTTTGAAAGAGGCAGTTTTTTTAAAGACATCCCAACAAGCACACGACTTTTGGGCTAGTGAAGGGACAATGTCGGCTCACCTAAAGTGCCATTACGGAGGGTTTGAATCGCCATATCGGTTCTGTAAATAAAGTGAAATCTGGGCCAAAATGAGGGCCAGTGCATGGCAGTTCAGGCAAACTTCTGGCAATCGTTAAAGGACTGGAACTACTTTGTTGCCTCTGGATTGCTTTGCCATTTTTGCCTGTTAAATACCGGGGGGGGAATTTATTTCACAGAATAAAGAGAAAATTGCTGTAAAGGCTTTTATTGTACCTTTATGATGTCTTTTTTGCCTTTTTATAAAAAGCTGAATACGTTCACTGGCGCACGTCGTTGCCTCGCTTGCCATTAAGGCACCTTAACTGTAGGCTGATTAGAAAACGCCTATGCCGTTTTCGCCCATATTGCACCTTTATTTCAGGTGATTAGGCAAACTTCTTTGCCTTATTTACTGATGTACCACCCTTAACTCACCTCAAACTCGGTTCAATAGAAAGTTTTAATGACATCCTTGCCAGTATCACACCCTTATTTCAGATGCTTAGGCAAACTTCTTTGCCTTATTTACTGATGTACCACCCTTAACTCACTTCACACTTGGTTCAATAGAAAACTTTAATGCCGTCCTTGCCTTTATCACACGTTTATTTTAGGTGTCTCTCCATTTTTTTTTTGTTAGTTACTTGCCTTAATTAGAACTTATCGTAGCTTTTAATTTCAAAGGCTTTTTGCTGCATGTTGTTAACAACTCTTATTTAGGGAACATAAATTGTCACGAGTGTTTGTTTTACTCTGCTGATATCAGCGATAGTAATTTATTGACTTTAAGCTTTTTATATTGTAATAAAACAACAACTGTCATTACATGCATACTGTTTTATGTCAATATAAAAAACAAAATGGTGTAAAACAATTGTTTAATTTATAATCAAATATCATCCAATGAATCTTCTTGCAATAAAGTAGACTTTTCTTTATTTCATTTTAATCAATTATAAACGCAATCACTTAAAGTAGAAACATATAAAAAAGAAATTTTGATTTGAGTGTTTAAATTTTTTAGGCATAATGAGATAGATGAAATTAAGCACAAATTTTTATTCTAAAATAAAACAATGCAACTCAATAAATAAGTTATTTAAGTTTTGAAAATAATGCTTATATATTTAAAACCAACTTTTATTAATAGAAACTTGCACACAAAAGTTTATTTATCCTATAATTTTGTGTCCATTCATCAAGTCATTAATTTTATTAAATATTAGATAAACATTATATATCATAAGTAGTTTTTTTTTAAAAAAATATTTTGTACCAGTAAATAACGCATCAATTTAATAATTTTAATTATATAAAAGTGGGAATTTTAACAACAATAAAATGCTTAAAGCTTAAAATAAACCATGACCTTTAAAAAGAGTTTTATTTCCTTGAAACAAATCAATAAATCAGTATGTACACTATTTACATATTGACAAATATAATTTCTTTATCCCATTCCAGAATCTTTGCTTTTCAATGAGCCTAGTTTCCTGCAAAAAATAAAGCAATTTCATCTTCTATTGTTTTTATTTTAGCTTTCTTTAATAATAACCAAATTGCTGGTACATTATACATGTATCAGTTAACTGTAAAAAAAAAATTAACAAAAAAGTATAATTTGCTCTAAATATGAATTTTTTTAATTCTAGAAACAAAGCTTGAAAAATTTTTCTAATTCTATTAATGAGCAATTCGTAACAGCTTGAGATCGATAATTAGGAAAAGTTAATAGTACTTCTGTATTAAAAATAACCAGTATCAATTATTTAATATTATTTTATACCAATATTTATTTAAAATCCGCAATTAAATTTGTGACATCTTACTTTTAACAATTGCTACAATTACTTTTAAGGGGCATTTCAATAATTTTGAAAGGATGGCAAAGTAAATATATGTGTCTTAGCATTTATATTCAAAAATAATTTTCTGCATCAAGTATTCATTAAAATAATATATATATATATAGATAGATAGATACACATATATATATACACACACACACACACNATAGTTTTAGGAACTGCATTAGTATTTGTAGAATATGTGATGTTCTGAGCACAGACATGTCAGAAATCAGAGCAAAAAGCTAGAAAAAATATGAGAATAAAGTTGTTTTTTTTATCAGGAATTCAGAAATTTCAATATTATGAACTCGGATATTATTTAACATATTAAATAAACTATTATGCTAAAATAAATGGGGAAAAAATTTATACTTTATTTATTATTAAACCATTAGTATAAAAACTTACTTTTACTATATCTTTTCTTATCAATTTTGTATCTTTTTATCAAATAATTATAAAGCACCATGTAAGAAAAAACTTTTTAATTATCATTCATTTAAAATATATATATGATATATTGCCTTAAATATATAAAAACTTGTATTATGTTAATGGATTAAAAAATAATTATGTTCCATAAAATTTAATTACATACTAATATCATAAATTATACACAGCTAAATAATAACATTAATTAAACAATATTGAAATATAGCATTTCTATATTACAGGCAAGCGAGGGAGAGAATCATTCTTTATGGTATCACTAAAATCAAATTTAAATGTTGAATGTTTATTTTGCTTGCTAAATAAATTTGTATAAAAGCAATCAGTTCTTTCCTTTTATATTAGATACTTTGTTAATATATTTAAAGAAAAGAAGGGATATTTTTTAGTTGTTTATTGAAAACATTAATTAATAGTTAAAGGAATAGTTAAATGCTAGAAAGACTTTAATTGGTTCGGTTAATTTCAATTGGCTTAAAATATTGTCCCACATATTGTTTTGAAAAAACACAAAAACCCCAGTTTAAACAAAAAAAACAAACTGGTTTCTTTACAACCACGTGGTAACCTAAGGTAAAATATAAATTTATTTCTTACCATCCTTTTTGCTGATTTTTAAATTTTGAGTTTTTTCTTCATTATTGATTTTCCATTCTGACTCGCTATGAAAGAAAGAAAAAATTATAATTAGAATATGATAGTTGTAAAATCAGTTAAAACAAAAACAGCAAAATAACAAAACATTTCGATCCAAACAAATGAATTCGAAAAAAACAACAAACAATAAGACTTTAATTGGTTCGGTTAATTTCAATTGGCTTAAAATATTCTCCCACATATTGTTTTAGAAAAACACAAAAACCCCAGTTTAAACAAAAAACTGGTTTCTTTCCAACCACGTGGTAACCTAATGTAAAATATAAATTTATTTCTTACCATCCTTTTTGCTGATTTTTAAATTTTGAGTTTTTTCTTCATTATTGATATTCCATTCTGACTCGCTATGAAAGAAAGAAAAAATTATAATTAGAATATGATAGTTGTAAAATCAGTTAAAACAAAAACAACAAAATCAAAGCATTTAAAAAAAACTTTCTGAAATCAAATATGAAAATTAATGTAAATATTTTTATATAAGTTATGGTATATGACAATAAGTTTATTGTTTACCATTTATCTTGTTTATACCCTAAGCATGTGGTGTGTTAGAGGAACTAAATGTGAATTGGTAAATTCAATAAAACTTAGCACAAGCTTGTAGGGGAATACTTTTAGCCTTTCAGTCCAAATTTAATGTGGGCGTCAAAGTTTTTAATTTTTTTCATGCATTTTTTTAAGTAAAATATTTGCTAAAATAATAGCTTTAATACGAATATTATATGCTGGTGAAACTTAAAATGAAAAAATTATATGATATATAATATTATCATTTTAAATAAAATAACGAAAAATATTTCGTTTTTCATTTATAACCTAAAAATAATTTCTTTTAAAATTTTGTTTTCTAACTAGTTAAAAAAATAGAATGATAAAAAAGTGTTATAACAGGCATGTAATGAAAACAGAGAAAACAAATACTAAAATATCATAATGATGTAAAATTGTCAGCACATCTTTTCACCTAATTTATACATTCATAAAGCGCATTTGCCATTGAATACAAAACCTTATTAAGAAAATACTAAATAATAATATTGCAAAAATATCAATATAAAAGCTTGTATGAGTAATAAAAACACTCGTTATTAATAAAGACTGTGTTAGAGAAATACATAAAGTGAACTTAATTTTGAGCACAATTATTATTTCAACAAATTAAAATTCTTTTGCAAATCAAAAATATGTGATTTAATTTAAAAAAATATTAATATTTGAAAAAAATATGTTTCTTTAAAATTATAAGCCATTAATTATTAATTATTTTAAATTACACAAATTATTATAATGTTTCACTATGCTCTTACCTTATTTTCTGTTGATCGCTGGATTAGCATTTCTTGGATCTTTCGTCCTCTCTTTCCATAAAAGAAAAGGAAAAGGAATTAATCAGAATATGATCGTCATAAAAACAGTTAAAAATCAACAAAATCTAAACTGTTTCTAACTAATTATATTATATAATTTTTGTTAAAACCAATTTTTTGATTTAAATGAATTTAATTATGATTTAAATGAAAGAGGAGAATCATATATTAAAATTACAGCAAATATTTTTATTTTTGGTAACTGACAATAAGTTGAATGTCTACCACCTGTCTTTTTTATGCTCAATGCATGTTTTATTTTAGCATAAACTACTGATGATCTTGCTTGAAAATACTTATCATTGGAAAGGACTATAAAATTTAGTCCAGAATTGTAAGGGAACATTTAAAGGGCAGGTCTAAATCTAAAGTAAATAATTTTAATTAAGAAATTTTAACTTATTAGACATCGTTTTTGGAAGTTGGATAAAATATGTGAACTATTAAATGTTTAATAATATTTATAATAAAATTACAAAATAATAATAAGTTAAATATTTTTCAAACATAATTAAGTAGTTTTTAAAGTGAAAAATTTTCTCTTAAAATTTTTTTGATTCTAATTTAGAAAAAGAATAAGTATGTATGGGACCATGGGTGGTGTGGAAGACGTGGGAGCCAATTAGAATTAAAATAAATAGATAAATTCTAAATAAAGCTTTTGTTAGTCAGGGCTCCCTCTGAATTTTAGAAATAAAATTTCCTGATTTTTTGAGGAAAGTTACCAACAATTTCTGGATTATATATTTCCACTACACAGTTATCATAAATTAAATTTTAATTAAACAATCAATTAAAGTTACTTTTTTGTAGAAAATATGTTAAGTATACACTTTCTTAAATACAAAATTGTCGAAGGTGAAGGCTGAACAGGTATATTTTAGAATTAACAACCATATAAAAACTCAAAATAGTAAATTACGAAAAATATAAATTAGATGATATAAATTATAGATTTTGCACAATAACTGGAAAAAAAGAATTAGTAATTGTCGTTATAGATTTTATTTTTCATTGAGGACGAACAATATTTAATACAAAAAGTTTTATTTCATGAAAAATAAATTATTATACTGAAAATACTATTATCCTGAAAATATTATTATACGGTAGATGCCGCTTAATGTGATCACGGTTAATGTTATCAATCATTTAATGTTATCAAAATCACTTAGTCCTGTCCGTTTATATCAAAATACATTGAAAAATCATCGTTTATTGTAATCAAATGTTCGTTTATTGTTATCAGTTTAGGTGTAAATTTTATTTTCCTGAAATCAATAAAAGCAAGAAGGAAAACCTTTTTTTTTGTTTAAAGTGTTTCCTGAAACTTACCAAAAGTCCAAAAGGGGCTCGTATATTATCTTTTAAACACATGTTATTAGGAGGGGAGTATTTTGCCATTTTTGGTCAAGCATTGTAAAATTTTGTAGCACTGGACGATTTCAAATTCCCCGAAATCCTAAATAAAGAAAAAAGAAGACCTGCCAGTAACAAGTCAATGTTTGTCACGAGCCCTTTTTTAGAAGAACTAAACAATGTGACAGATGATGTGTCCCAGCTACTATGGGAAGGGTTTAAGGGGTGACCTTCAAAAGGGAACATTGTTTCGGGTATGTCACTTGATCTTGGCAGATTGCTTACCGAGTCACTATTGGTCAAACCATAAAATTGGGGGGGGGGGTGATAGTGGAACTGCCACATCTAAGTGTTTAAAAGACGCATGCAGAAGATTAGCATAAATTTTCACTTTACCATAGTTCATACGGTTTGTAACCTGATTTGTTTTTTATAATGGAAAGGAAATAGAGAGATCTTACTGTGAAAGAAAAGGTTGACATTTTAAATCGTTACAATAAATTGCCAAAAATGAGCCAAAGGAACGCTGCTGTTCAATTGAAAGTTTTTCAGCCGCTTTTGTGCAAAATTTTAAAAAATCTTGAAGATATCAAAAAAAAGTGCACTTTGAACGAAAATCTGAATTGTAAAAGAAATCGAGATGGAAAAGACAAAGAGGTTGAATCTGCATTGAAACTCTGGTTCACAAACGTTCGTGAAAGGGACGCTCGTGTTAATGGTCCAATTTTGCGCCAAAAAGCTGAAGATTTAGCTGCGAAATTGGGTAAAGGAAACTTCATAGCCACCGAAAGATGGTTCCACTCCTGGAAAAAGAGGCAGAACATACTCTTCCGAAGGACACATGGGGAACAAAAAGATGCCGATAATGTAGCCGCAGATCAGTGGATTAAGAAGAATAACCTAAACTTATTGCCACATATTCACTTGAAGATGTGTATAACGCTGATGAAACTGGCCTATATTTTGGTGCATTGCCTGAACACACCTACATGTTTCAGAAGGAAAGTACGCAAGGGTGTAAAACCTCCAAGGAACGCCTAACTGTGCTATGTTGCGCTAGTATGACCGGCACTAAAGAAAAACTTTTAGTGATTGGAAAAAGTAAGAAGCCCCGCTGTTTCAAAGGTGTGAAAAATCTGCCCGTCGATTATTTTGCCAACAAAACGGCGTGGATGACTACCACCATCTTTAACGAATGGCTGTTGAAATGGGACAAGCGACTAAAACGGAACATACTCCTGCTCATAGACAACTGCACTGCGCATGATGTAACTGTTTCATTAAAAAAGATAAATATCGTGTTCTTACCACCAAACACCACTTCTTTAATTCAACCGTGTGACCAGGGAATTATCCGCACCTTGAAGGCATATTACAGAAAGGAAATGCGTTCAAGGATCTTAGAAAATATGGAAGACCAAGACGCTGAAGATCTTAATGCGAATGCTCTAGCCAAAAAACAAATGTTTGGATGCCATACATTTGTTAACAATGTCATGGAATAATGTGTCGGAAAAAACAATTCGAAATTGTTTTAGTCATGGAGGATTTTGTCAACCAGAGGACAACAATGCTGCTGTGATGAAAGAAATGGAAGACGTTTTCAATCCCCCATCCGATATGAATGCTGAGGATTTTGAAGCATGGATGGAGATCGGCGAGAAGGTTGAGACTTCTACTTCGTTAACTGATGAGGACATTTGCGAAGCCGTATGTGTCAAAGATCAAGCTTTGTCACAAGATTCTGATGCCGATGATGAACCCGAAAGTGTTATCGAGGACAAAATTCTGACGCCTGCTCAGATGAGGGAGGCACTTCGATCTTACGTCTAGGTGTGCAAAACAAAGCCGACGCGGAACACTTTCATTAACATTATGATTATGAGCGATTCGTAAATGACTTGCTTCGAAAGAATGCTAAACAATCGACAATTGATGATTTCTTTTTCAGTTAATAATTAACCTTTTGTATTGTTTTGTGCAGTTCATCATTAAATATGTAAGTATACTAACTAATTCTTTTTCTTTAGTGTACATTAATTTCTGTTAAATACTATAGAGTTTTACAGCAGCAACTCCTAATTTAAAATAATTTTTATTTTAATATGTATGTAAAAAAATCATTTTTTAGCTTAAATTTTTTTCGTTTACTGTATTGTAATCAATCGGTTATTGTTATCAAATCAGATTCGTTCCGATATTATCACATTAAGCAGCGTCTACTGTACTCATAAATAAATTTTAAAAATAATACTCTAATTTCAATTTTAAAAAATCAAACCTAATTTTAAATCAAATTAGTTTTATAACAAATTTAATTTTACAACATAATAATTTTGTAACAAATTAATTCATTTTAAAACAAATTAATTCATTTTAAAACAAATTTAATCGTAAAATTAAACTTAATATAAAGATTTGAAATGTTCTTAAACATTTACAGCAATACATTAAATGCAAAAGATGGATAAAAACAACAAAATAAAAATTAGAAATACTGTCCTTCTATTTAATATGTCCTTTTGTTATTTATTTATTTAGAACAAAAATATATTATATTGAGTATCAAAACAAATAAATTATTTATAAATATATGTTGTTAATTTTTTAAAAATCACATTTTTTTTAATTTTTTAAAAATATAATATTGAATGATTTGTTAGCCAGACAATTAAAATCTTTCTACCCTTATTAAGAAAACGCATTGCTTGAAGACATTATTCTGAAAATGCTCGAAAAAAGTTTAAAAATGGAAGTGTTTAGTGGAACAATTTTTAGCATGTTTAACAACGTTATATATTTTTTAATTTAAAAAAGTCAAATCAGAAAAATATCAACATTAAAGTATAATTTAAATATAAAATAACTAATTAAAGATGAGAAAATTTAAACTCCTACTATTTATTTATTTATTTTATGGTGGTTCGAATAATATTTCAAATTACTTCTTATATCTAATCAAAGGTATTATTTGAAACAATAAGTGACACCCGCGGTTTAGATAATTCAAATTATGTTTTTTTACAGTCCTTCAAAGAAAAAAATGGCTACTGAAATGAAGTAAATTATTAAATTAATCAATGCTTCTGAAAAATGAAAGAAGCATTTGTTATTAATGCCTAAGAAATTATAAATTCTTCTTTTATTAGATAGAGTTAATTGAACTTTTATTTATTAAAAAAATCGTCTAATTCATTTTAAAACTAAACTAGCAGCTTACAGGAGAGCATAAGATGAAATAGCCAACTAAAATATTATAGTTATAAAACATAATTTCTAAAAACTTAGCAAATAAAATCAAAACAAATTAAACTAATTATAAAAAGCTATTTAATTAATAAGTAAAACAAATTTTTAAAATACATGAGCTAAAGAGAAAAAACTTGTTACTTATTTGCTCTTTTGAAGTGGAACCATTTCTATTTTTCCAAGAAAGATGGGAGACCCCTTTAGAGACTAAGGGCTATGTTTATCTCCTTTTTTACACCTTTTTCGCCAATGTGCTCCTTTCCTTTTCTCCCCCACATTCTTTTTACTTCAAGGACTTCAAACATACTTATCTGGTGACTTCAAGCAGTAATCAATATCTATTTTGAATTCTTAAAGACAATTTCTGGTCCTCATAATAAAAATTAATATGCACTAAAACCTTTTATTAACTATTAGCGATAAGCAAGCTTACTAAATTAAATAATTATTGAAGTCAAAATTCATTTGAGTACTTTTGGTAAGAAAATTTTTTAATACATATAAACTGGGAAATAATGCTTACATATATGTTTTGATTTGCGGAGTAGAAAATTAGAATATCGTTTCTTTATAATGAACAGTAAAGCTTCCATAATTAAGCACGTTTAAGTAAATAAACCATTTTTTAGTTTTCATCAGCTTTTTAAATATTTTAGTACGTAAAAAACACGTTCTGCTTTTATGAAATATTTTTATAAATAATTAAGTAACTTTAATTGGGCAAATTTATTTACATTAGCAAACTGGCTGTGTAAAATATGATATTAGCATTACAAAATTATAAATTTATAAAAAATATATATATTTTCTTCTAAAAGTCTTTCTAAGTTACTCCCCGCATTAAAAAAAATGTTTTTTGTTTATTTATGAATGCACGAAGACTGTTTTTTTTTTATATCATTCACTTACATTACTAAATTATAATTATATTTTTGGTTGAAAGCTAATGATCACAAAGATTTAAAATCCTAAATAACCAACTGCAACAAATTCATTACCTTGGATACTTTAAGCAAAAATTGGTGGTTACTTTACTTTTCTACTAAATACTTACTTCTTTTAACTATCTTCATAAGGATAATGATGTTCTTTTAACTTTCTTACAGATGATATTCATACGATGAAATTCTATTTAGCTATGCAGATTTTTAATTTCTATGGCATTAAAATTCACGATTTTTAAATTCTTTAACATAAAAATCGTAACTTTTACTTTAAAACTTTATTTTATTTACGTTTAAGCAACAACATTGATTTTAGAAATCCATTATTAGTTTTCACACAGTTTTATTTAGTTTATATTTTAAATTTATATTTTAAAACACGCTTATATACACACAGTTTATATTTTATAACATGCATAGAAATTTTTTGAAGTAACATGAGTTTTTATTTTGCTATTATTTGCATAGCTATCACTTGTAAAAAAAGTTATTTTTTATTTTATCATTTGAAACTTTAAATATTTTATTAAATGCATAGTTAAAAATTACCTGTCTATTTTTTGTTTAAAAATCATTCCATTTATACAAAAATAAAAAATAGCAGGCTTTACCCTTTTCATACTCCGCTCACCAACTCCCGTAATTGCTTATCATTCATTCAGCATTGATTTTTTTTTCTTTATGTATACTTCCTTAAGCTGCAATATTTTTCACTTTTCAATAAACGCATAACATTTTCTTTTCAAAATATACAAGTATTGTAGCTTTATGTAAGAACATTTTGTTAAGCATAATGAAATAGAGGATTTAATAAATTTGAAAAATAATTATCTATACTTAAAAAAAAAAAAACACTTAAGGAATACAGATTGTGTAAATCCATTGGAAAAAGTAATGAGAAGTAATTTTACTCGTTAACAAGACTTATTAAAGTTTAAACAGGGAACAGTTTAAAAGTTATTTATTAAGTTTATTGTTTTTAAAAATGTCAATATAAATATTAAGAGTGATATTAGGCAACAAACAAATCTCTCTCTCACGCTGTCTTTTGCTACTTTTGATTGACAACAACTTGAGCGCAAGCTTATAAAATAAATTTTTTATGACAATGCATAAATAGTCAATGGTCAATATTTAAAGCAAAAAAACTTAAAGAAAGATATAACGAATGAGTATTTAAATTTTCAATTGCTTTCGAACATATTGGAATTCCAAAACAAAATTCTTGTTAAGTATACACATAAATCCTCCCTTTCAGCAAATTAAATTTTAACCAAGTTACCTTTCAGCTAACTACGTGAAGAAAAAGTTTTGTCTAAATTACCGCATTCTATGATAATAAAATTTTTTCAAAACAAAACCATAACTCTGTTAATAAAACCAAGTATTTAAACCATTTATTTGGTAATTTTTTTTTGTTAAAATGATAGCAGTTTACCGGATACTCTAGCTTTCAAAATTATAGCTCTTATAACCTCACATTTAGAAAAAAATATAAAACTGAATAGTAAATTTTTCTGAACAAAAGGTTTTTATATAGTGCTCTAAACTATCATGGTAAAATTACTGAATTTTACCACGTTTATCGCATTTCAACTCAAATTATAAAATCTAAATTTTTTGTTATTTTTACCGAAAACATTAATTAACCACTTCGTTAAAAAATACTGAGCTTTTTGGTGTTCCTCTACAGCCAGAAATAAAGTAAGTTTTACAATATTTTGGTAGTTTTGATAAAATTTTCTTTTCTAGCAAACATATCAACCAATCGTAGTAATTTTTTATTAACAATTAATAATTTTTAAGTTAACAATCGAAATCTTAATTTTCTCTACAACTCATCATAACTTAAAATAATAAATCTTATTGTTTATCACAGTAAAACAAACAACGTGAATAGAAAAAGAAGGTGCGTAAAAGGCAATAATAAAATTGCAATTAATTTTCTAACATATTTGAATACTGGTATTAAATTCATAAACAAAATTAGCCTTTACAGAGCGTAAAATTTCAAATTAGTATTTGCATTTCTTTGTTCTGCAGAGCAGCCAGCGCAGTATTTTTTTACACCAGATTTTGCAGATAACAATTTCCAAACTAATAATAGAATAGTCGTTTTTCTATTTCATCGCACTCCCTGTCCATTTTGCTGTAATCCTTCGTAATTTTATTTTATAACTGTCGTTGAACAGCCGACCCGAATTTAAGCTCACGACTATCAATGTTCAACTTTGTATCCTTGTAATTTTGAATCTAATTCAAAAAATAAGAGAACTCTTGTACAAAGGAAATTGCCTTCGTGGAGAACTTTTTTATGGTGAGGAAAACCACAAAAACCTCCCACTGTTAAGCAAGACGAAGATGGGACTCTTAATAATCCACGATGCGTCTATCACTTGAAATATTTTACGCCAGCCGGGTACGAAATTCGTATCAGCCAGCAATTCTTAGGATTCAAATCCTCAAAACTCATTAGTAGGCTAGCGTTCTTTCCCCTGAGCCACCACCGCTTATCCTTCGTAATTTGAAACTTCTAAATCTTATACTTTTTGCACAGCAAAGCAAAATGTAAAGTTAAAATAAGCACCCAAAAATAGCGGAGGGGACTTCGCTCCTTAGGGCTTTTTTATTTAGAGGGAAACACATTATAATAAATATTTCTTTCAGGATTCTGCTCAATAATTTAGTAGTTTTCCTCCCGCTGTCTAGGAATTTTTTCATGTAAAAAATTAAATAAAAATACAATATATTAATAATTATTTTCAGAATATTTTTCTAATTAAAAAGATGAAATCCAGTTTAGAAGTATCTGAGTTAACTCCTCAAAGTAAATATACTAAAAAATGGACATTTAAATGCCTGAATTAAAAAAGATCCAACATTTTACGCATTTATGTCTAGATGGAATATTTAAATTATACTAAGTTTTGGAAGTTGCGAGATAAAAAGACTTCACAATTTTGTTACCATTAACTTTCTTCCTTTTTTTAATAATTTATTAACAGTGTCTAACTTGTGCTTGAAAAAAAATATTAAACATTTCTTTAATTAGTAAAAAAAATTCTAACAAGAAATTTTAAAATAATCCTACTTAAAAGTTATTACTATAATGAGAAAAAAATACTATGATGCTTCTTCACAGTTTTATAATAGTTAAACATCTGTTTACGTATTTGTTTAAGAAATATAATGTGCATATGTTGTAAAAAATCAAGATCAAAGTTCAAGAAATATCGCAGTGATGCATGAACACGAAGCTTATTACAAATTTATTAGATAAATTACTCAAATTTCTGAGGGTTCAAAGAATCTAATTTCTTGTTTTTTAATGTTCTTTTTTTATACCTGCACACAATTATATCTGTTTGTATTTGAAGAAACTTGATTAATTTGTATCATGGCGTATTAAACGTACTATTATCTCAATAGTTGTGAAAGACTCAAATAGTCGTTCACCATGGTTTAAATAGTTTACAAACTTTCAACTGTTTAGATAAAGAGCTGAAAGATAAGTGAAAGAGAGGAAAATGATGTTGTGTGGCCTCGATCGTTTTGTCCTTTTATTAATTGCAAAAAATAATAAGCTAGAGTGGTACTAATTTGAACAGTACATACCTATAAATGGTTTACATAAAGCATAAAAGTGAAGCTCTTTCCATGTTGAAGTTCTCATCATCAAGTAAAGTTGTCTTACTAATTAAAAATAATATCTTAATAGTAAATCTAAAATTATTTTTTTAAAATTTAGAATTAATTAACGTACTTATTTTTTTATTTACTTTTGTAATTTTCCATATCCGGTAGAAACACTTCTGTTTGATATTTTTTAAATTGCATTTTGAGCTGTAAAAGATTTTCACTCTGTATTACTTACGTTAAAACTGTTTTATGAGTAAACTATAAAATATGAGAATTTTGTGTTGTTTTTATTTTTTCATTTATTTACTTTTTTTAAGGAAAATAAGTAGTTTAATGGAAATCTAATCACAAACGATTTAAAAAAGTAATTTCATTAAAATTTTAAATAATAATAATGAAGCAAAGAAGTAAAAAATTAAATGGATGTTTAGGGGAGCTTCATTCAAGGTAAAGTATAAGAAAATGAAACAAAGTGGTGAAAAAGCTCAAGGCTTCTCAAGAACTACCACCAACAGGGAGAGAGGAAAAACGCATAACTGGACATCATTAATTTTCCTTTTTACCCTACAGAAAGGGGATCTACAGCTGCTCCCCATCAACAGCTCATCCCTATAAAAAAAACTGCAACTTCTTATTCTAAAACAAACGTATGTACTTTTTCTAGTAATCAATATTTAAATATGAAGGACGCACTAATATGCATAGAAAAAAAATTTTATTTCTAAAATTGCATTGCGTAAAATTTATCCTTATGATTCTCATTTTGACATTACATAATAATAATACATACTGATTAATTCATATTGATACATAAAAAACAACGTTTTTAGATGTACAGAAAAAGAGTTCTAGTTCTTACCACATACAAAAGTGTTTCAACTACAAATTACTAATTTTAGATCATTCATTCTTAAAAATATTTAAATTATTATAATTTTATCGTTGACCATTGTGGG